CTCTTCTTAAAGTGTGTGTGTGTAATTACCTAAGTGTAGTTACAGGATGAGAGCTAGGCTCATGGTGTCCCGTCTTCCCAGTACTCTTTGTCGTATAACGCTTTGAAACTAATGACGGGTTTGGCCTCCACCACCTTCTCACTTAGCTTGTTCCAACCGTCTACCACTCTGTTTGCAGAAGAAAACTTTCTAATATTTGTTCGGCACCTTTGTTTCCTTAGCTTGAATCTGTGTCCTATTGTTTCTGAAATTCCAGTTTTTAAGAATTCATCTTAGTCAATTTGGTCGATTTCTCTTACTGTTTTCTATGTAATGATCATATCAAATTTATTTCTTCTATATTCGGCATATTTATCACTCTAACCGCTCCTCGTAGCTCTTGTCCTTCGCTTCTGGGAGCCATTTAGCAGCATGTCTTTGTACCTCCTCCAACTTATTGATGTGTGTCTTAAGATATGGGCACCATACAACCACTGCATATTCTCCTCGTAGCTTTGGTTTCAAAGCAAAGCAAGAAAGCTTTGGTTTCTTAATTTTTTTACAGCCCACGTATTTAAAATCGATTCTGAATTGTGCGCGCGTGTGTATGCGCGTGCATATATTTATTATTTGTATCTGCCGAACCGAGCTGTTAGCTCTTGGACCCCGCCTTTCTAAACAATCTTTTATATCTACTACATATATTTCTCTCTGTCACAGACGCGCATACACACACACATCCCCAGGAAGCAGCCCGTAGCAGCTGTCTAACTCCCTGATACTTATTTACTGCTAGGTTAACAGGGGCATCAGGGTGAAAGAAACTGCCCATTTGTTTCCTTAACAGCTGAGTGGACAGCGCTTCGGATTCGTAGTCCTGAGGTTCCGGGTTCGATCCCCGGTGGAGGCGGAGACAAATGGGCAAAAAGTTTCTCTCACCCTGATGCCCCTGTTACCTAGCCGTAAATAGGGCCTTAGGAGTTAGACAGCTGCTACGGGCTGCTTCCTTGGGGGTGTGTAACAAAAAAGAGGCCTGGTCGAGGACCGGGCCGCGGGGACGCTAAGCCCCGAAACCATCTCAAGATAACCTCAAGATAACCTCTACAGCAACCCGGACACACAAACGGGTTATTCCGTCGACTCCAACACGTGGAACTAATCTACCGAACTCCCCTCAGCCCAAATTGGTTATAAAAGATAGTTCTACTCGATCGAGGACGCAATTTAATATGGGAAAGTGGTTGAAGAATTAGGGGACTAGTTTTTCGCTCCTACTAAACTGTGGATGTCTGGTGTCTGGACAATCGACTTGAGAATGGTCCAGGACGGACCGAAACGTCGTCGTCCCTTCACCTTCTAGTGTGTGGTCTGGTCAACATGTATGGTGTAGACTTTCTGTTGTATTCAAGTTCAAGTATGTTTATTGAGACAAGAAAGAAATACATCTCAAAGGGATGTATTTCTTCTGTTGTATTGGAAACAGTATATTCGACTTTTGTTTATAGATTATTCTGGGAATGACTAGATATATGCGTGTATATATATCTACATATGCATAGTTCTCAAAAGAAAATTGATGGTACTATCAACTCTTTAAGAGTTAACAATAAAAAACATAGAAATACGTGTACCGTAAAATACCTATACCGTAATACTTGGCAATATAACGAGGCTAATATAAGTCCCGTTGGCGGTGTCAACAAAGCCGCCACCGCCGCCAGGGGGCCAGTCATGTTGATGCGCAACATTGAAGAAACTCGAGCAATAGTCTATTTACTCTAAGCGGATAATGTATGTAAATATTCGAGAACGCTTGGGAAGCTCACATATCATTCCTGTTCCCGTTTGCTGACCTACACACACACACACACACACACACACACACACACACACACACACACACACACACACACACACACACACACACACACACACACACACACACACACACACACGCACACAAGCTTGAATACGCCAAGGTGCGTAGTGCTCCTGGCTGTCTGGGTTCGAATCCTTCTGGGGTTGGAGGCGTAGCTATGAGAGATAAGCTTTAGTTATTACTAGTTATTTACTTGACAGTACTTACACCTGCTACAGATACTCGTAGGAGATACTTACAAGTATTACAGCTGTTATAGATATTTGTAGGAAAGTCGATGCTGGGCACAGCCACGTAAATTACGTTGACTGCGACAAACGACTCAAGAGAGGTTATGGAGATGCAAATCAGAAAAAGTTAAACCAACGTATTTATGACACGAGGAAGATGAGTGGCTGTGTTGACCCCTAGGTGGATAGCCTGGTTAGTGGTCACACCTTAATAGTGGAGGCAAGGTGAACCATCACTCAAGGTCTTGGGCTTGCAAGCCCGGCATATTAACACACTCATGGAGAAGTGTGTCACACTCACACACTCACTCACACACACTCAAGAGAGAAAGAACTGCATAACCTTGCTTCTGCTTGAGATCCTTCACACACTAAACATGCTGTGGTTGAATGCTCAATACACAACTCTTTTCAACTCTTTTTGACCACGCCGTAGCTCATGTCAATTAAGGCAGCGTCTGGGTTCCTCTCGGACGTAGGTTCGAATCCTCGTCACGGCCCTTGTGGACTTGTTCATTGCTCAATAACTCGCTACACTACAAAGTATCTACATCTCTCTAACCCTGTCAGTGGAGGATAGACGAGAATGTTTACGTATGTAGGTTGGCATTCTAAACCCACCTCAATCACTGTGTGTGGTTGAGTGCTTAATAACTCGCTGCACTATATGTACAGTATATCTCAAACCTTGTCCAGGCGATGAGTCACAATAACGTGGCTAAAGTAAGTTGACCAGACCACGCACAATCGACTTGAGAATGGTCCAGGACGGACCGAAACGTCGTCGTCCCTTCACCTTCTAGTGTGTGGTCTGGTCAACTATCTCAAACCTTGTCCGTGTGGGACAAACAAAACATCTACATATGCTGGTTAACATTGTACAACTGATTGGCTTACGTCTGTGGTAAAAAACTTCACATGACAAAAAACATCTCGATGCAGTCCTTGTCACGTCGTTTGTATTAGAAGTTAGTTTAAATAATTTCATAAATAAATAATTCTTTTTACCTTACTATGTATTTGAATAGTCATGAGCAAGAGGGGTTGCAGGGGGAAGAGTTTGGGGCTCTATAATCGTCAAAGGCAGACAAGGTTACAGGTGGCCCCAGAGGTAATCACCAGGTGTTCCACAGGTGTCGAGCACACAGGGGGGATGGGGGGGAGGCAGACAATACTGTTGTAGCGGAGTAGTACCTTTTTTTTGTGCCTTTTTTTAAGCTGTATCCGGCATAGAGGAGCCCGAAATCTGTGGCTAGGGAGAGTGTCACGAATTCAAGGTCAGAGGTTATTTTAACGCGTGATTTATTATGACGGTCGTTCTGGGTGTGTGTGGGTGGATGTGGGGGTGTAATTACCTAAGGGTAGTTACAGGGTGACATGTAAGCTAATGGTGTTACGTCGCTTCTGTGAACCTTTGTTATGTAGAATGCTTTTAGGTTTCACGTTATTTTGGCATTCTCCGTATTTAAATTATACCATCTGTCCACCACTTTGTAAAAAGGATTGGCTTTTGTGGCAGTTGGTGCATACTGAATTATGTGTGTGTGTGTGTGTGTGTGTGTGTGTGTGTGTGTGTGTGTGTGTGTGTGTGTGTGTGTGTGTGTGTGTGTGTGTGTGTGTGTGTGTGTGTGTGTGTGTGTGTGTGTGTGTGTGTGTGTGTGTGTGTGTGTGTGTGTGTGTGTGTGTGTGTGTGTGTGTGTGTGTGTGTGTGTGTGTGTGTGTGTGTGTGTGTGTGTGTGTGTGGAAGAGAGCACGTGCTCTCATACCAAGGTCACACACAAACCACTCACCTCTGTGCTAGCCCAACATCCACCACAAACGATTACCTTATTTTTTATTCTGTTTTTGTTAACAAGATTAACTGTACAGCACTGTACCGCTACCCAAATATATATATGAAGGGGTTGCAGAGTTTGCATCAAAGGCTTCCAAGGTCTACACTACACACTTGCATGGTCTTGCAAGGTCTTGAAGGTTTGATCACTTGCAAGGTTTACCTCATACCCCCAACTGACTGATGACTTGTCATACGCGAGATGTGAGTTGAGTTTACTAGTTTACATTGTCAAACCTCGGGAAGACTGTGAGAATCTAATATCCATAAGTGAATTAAATAGTTTAAAGTTACCTCGTGTTATTTCGTGTAAAGGTTATTAATAATAGGGTCATTCACCAATATTGTATTGAAGACGAAGAGTCACAATAACGTGGCTGAAATATGTTGACCAGATCACACACTAGAAGGTGAAGGGACGACGATGTTTCGGTCCGTCCTGGACCATTCTCAAATCGACTTGAGAATGGTCCAGGACGGACCGAAACGTCGTCGTCCCTTCACCTTCTAGTGTGCGGTCTGGTCAACATACTTTATCCACGTTATTGTGACTCATCGCCTTAATTGTTGGTGTTACTATTGTAACACCAGATTGGACTGTCTATGAAAGTTCGATTTCATGTTTGTTACATTATATTAGAGCTAGAATTTGTTAAGCCATAATGTTAATAATATATAATGTTATATATATATTGGTATAATGTTACTGAAGTCACCATACGAGTCACAAGTCCCCAGCCACCGCTTGAGTAAGACAGAGACGAGAAACAAGTAACACTTAGAGTACCAGCCACAGGTAGGGGCCCACGTAGGAATGAATATCCCTATAAAACAAAGCACAAAAGATATAATAACAGCCACATCGTATACAAGACAGTTGACCAACGCATCTTTTGAAGCCTCCCTAACCTAACCCACCCTAACGTAACCCAAACTGAATTATTACACCCCATTCTAAGGTAATGAGACGTGTTGTTCCAGACACGAGGACATCAATCTGAAGATAAAGGGAATGACTTGGATGCCACGGGTCTTGTGTAAGGATACTAAGGTGATGTTTTCGTTCTTCCTCCTGCAGGTCGAGATGACATGTCCCCCTCCTCCCTCACCAACTACGGCTCCGACTCCTACAGCGACCTCAAGAAGAAGAAAGGTCCCATACCCCGACAGGCAGAGGAGCTGTGCCTGGTGTGTGGGGACAGGGCCTCTGGATATCATTACAACGCGCTAACCTGTGAGGGATGCAAAGGTAAGTCAGTCGATCTTGTCTTTATGCTGCGCTAAGTCTGCATTGCGTCTTGTCGGCTTGGCTACCAGAATGATGTTTTAGATTCAGCTACTCGAAACAAAGAATTTCAAGTAGCACGGGCTATGGTGAGCCCGTAGTGGACTTAGCTGGCACAGGAGCGGGGCTGTGTGTGTGTGCGAGGCTCTCTCTCGTCACAAATAATTTCGTCATAATAATCAAGTTATATGTAGGTTATATGTAGTCGCAGTTGTTTTTAGGACAAGATTATAATTATATAGTATACAATATCTCATTTGGTAAACGTCTTGTATATATATTTCAGTCCTAAGCAGATAATTGTTTGATTAGATTATTTTCTACAACTCACGTGGCCATTCAGTCACAATAATAATAATAATAGTAATTAATAATAATAATTTAAGTTAAATAATGACAAATAGTTTTCTATGTTAATATTTAAAGGTAAAGAGTAGACAGTAATTTGTTTTAGGTTTTATAGCTTTGGTTCAGTACTCCAGCACATTGGAATTTGAAATGAATTTAAAGTGCAGACTTTCAGCTTTAATTTGAGGGTATTTATATCTATAACTTGTGAACCGTGTGGGAATTACTGCTGTTTCTTGAGGAGTTGTGTGGCGTTGCATCGTTCCCTCATGCACAAGAGGCAGCAAAACGTTTCCAGTTGATGTTGACCAGACCACACACTAGAAGGTGAAGGGACGACGACGTTTCGGTCCGTCCTGGACCATTCTCAAGTCGATTGAGAAACTGCCCGTGGCGTTTCCAGTTGATTCTTGGGACGACTTTTGCATGTGGGGAGTTTGTAACTCTTATCAGAGAACGTGAGGACCAAAGGTATCATTACCAGTAAAGCAGACCACAGTGAAGCTGAACAGTTAAGAGTAAACCGATCAGAAACATTGTCGAAACATTGCGTGTCAAAATCACCTTTTTGAACGCCTTGTGAAATGGAATTGAAATTGAAATAAGTTTATTGAGGTAAAATACACACAAAGGGATGAAGTAGCTCAAGCTATTCTCACCCCGTTCAGTACATCGTGTTAATACATACATAGACACACATCACAAGCAATAAACATATTACCAAACATTCTGAGAGATAAACAGCTACATTTCCTCCTTTACACAAGTAGTATGGTACCAGACGTACACAAATACTTTTATGACCTAGGTATACTGTATAGACAAACACCTTGTGATAGACCACAGGTACTACTGATGGCTGACCCAAGAATACTTTCAATTATGAAGAAAAAACCCTTATTAACCTGTCAAAGAGATCAAGGACGACCATAAAGAGAGGACAACACCAGCATAAGCTCAGGGTTCACCACAAGATTTACACCAATGACGAGTCTCAAGAACTGCCCGAAGCGCTTTGCGTAATAGTGGCTTTAGGCATTGTATGTACTAGCTCTATCTATTTTTTTTTAATCCAACAAACTTTGTAAAATCTCTTTATGTATGTACCTTACCTAAATAAACATTTATTTATTTATTATTTATTATAACTTTTCTTGAGCATCTCTCTTGCTTTTCCTCCACTTTCTCCCTTTTCCTTCCTTTTATGCCCGTCCTAACCCTTCCCTCTTCTCTTTCTCCCTCTCTCAAAAATGTAATACTGTAATCTGAATGAATTTACGTTCATCGTTTTCAAGTAAAACATGAAAATACGCAGGTAAATAAATGGTAGCAGTAAACATCAAAATTTTACAAACATATCAAAATCGCATGGGAGGTTACTATAGATGCCTATATTTCTTAAAGCCTGGCACTTGGGCTGACCCTGACTGGCCTATGATCCATATTATCCGTATTTCATGTGTGAAAGTTGGATGAGGCTTGCACCATGGATCTCCACTCCTGCTTTGGACAGACACTGACAGACATTCTATTTCATAATAGATATAGATACATTATGTTACTAGCTTATCAGTGTTGTAACTACGAATTTTGAGCCTCTGTAACCTTTTTCACTACCACTCATAGGATGGGTATGGGGTGGATAATAAATGAACTAAATTGAAAACTCTCATATAATGGGTATAGAATCCATACGAAATAAGCTTAGCTATTAAAGAATGGCACTTCACCTTGCAGCAGGAAATTACCCCAAACACAGGCGTATTTCAGGTCCGAAAAGTGGAATGTTCTTGACTGGCCAAGTCAGTCACCCCGACATGAATCCAATTGAGCATGCATATCACTTCCTGAAGAGACTCCTGGTTCAATCTTGTCCCCCGAGCAGACGTCTTGACACCTACTATGCCTGGTGCGAATCGCTAGCAATCGGAAGGTGATTATTGTTCTTTGATGTTTTGATTACTGGCTTCCTTAGATTTCTCGTCAAGGTCCTGGTTTATATTGCGCCCGGCGCCCTTATCACTTGGAGTCTCAGGAAAGTGATAGATTTTCCCTATATTTTCCGGTTGGCTCTTCGGGCGGGGGACGGTGTCCGGCGCCTACTATCTGGCGAGAGTTTGGGGTTCTTGGTTGGGCTCATAGTGTGCTTTCGGGGCTTCGTGAACGTCGGCTCTTGCTCCACTGGAGGTCACAGGGAGACGTTGCTGCATGTTCGATTGGTCTTCGAGTTTCAGAGGGACCTTTGTGGATTTACCATTGGGCTTCGATTTCGTTCGGCTACTCAGTTCACATGATGCCTGACGCCTCTTATCGTCTGAGATCTCTGGATGTCGATAGACAGTCTTTCTACAGTTGGTTCTCTGTGTTGGGTGTGAGTCTGGCACTCGTTTTCCCGGAGGACGCCAAGAGACGTATAGCCTCCGGGCTTCGATACGAAAACGACGGAGTCTAGTCGAATCATACGTGACCATTTTGGATACCGTCGGTTCGGTACACAAACTAGAAGTTCGTTCATAGTCTTTTTTTGTATACAGGAAGCCTTTTGTGAATAATTACCCAAGTGTTACTGGATGAGAGAGAAGGCTTGTGATGTCCCGTCTTCCCAGCATTTTGTCATATGACGCATTAACGCGGTTTTGGCCTCCACCACCTTCAGACTTAACTTGTTTCAACCGTCAAAAACTCTGGTTGTGAAAGTGAATTTCCTTATTTCGTCAGCAGCTTTGTTTAGTTAGTTCAAACAAAGTTAGTTCATTTGTTTAGTTAGGTCAACAGATAAACCTACAGGGTACCCACTTTTGTCAAGAGCTGCATGCATCAAGTTAATTATACTAATTAGCGCATCATTTGCGCCTTTTGGAATCTGAAACCATACTGGCATGTGCTCAGTATATTATGTTTTGCTAGATAGGAGCAGACATTCTTGTAGACTATCTTTTCAAATATTTTAGACAAAGTGGGAAAGATTGATGAAACGTCTGAAATTGTTGACTTGAATGAGATCATCACTTTTATGGGCTGGGATTACTCTTGCTATTTTTTTAGAATATCAGGAAAGGTTTGGAGTTCAAGTGATTTGTTGTAGAATAATAAAATGGCTGGAGCTAAAAGTCTAGTTTTTTTGTGTGTGTAAATAAGGGTTGGTATATCAGTAGGAGTACTTGACTTAGTTTCAAGTGAGGATTATATCATTAACATATCTTATCACTGCACTTCATTTAATAACTACACGATTGCTAAGTAAAAGATTTTAATTATTAATAGCATTATATTGTGGCTTTGATATTAACCTAGTCTCTGTGGCGCAGTGGTAACACACACTCGTCCCGTGCTTCGCAGGCAATTTGGTCTTGGTTCGTATCCTGGCCGGGTTGGATTGACTAGGCACCAATTCTTAATTGTACGCCTGTCACCCAGCAGTGAATGGGTTGTTAAGCGATTTGGCGGGTCGTATTCCAGGGAAAAAATTAAGATTAAGGACTTGCCCGAAACGCTATGCGTGTTAGTAGTTTTACAAGACTATAAGAACTATATATATGTTTTCGAATTAGTAGAAAATTTGTGGTTGTTATGGCGACAATGAAACTAGACGTTTTTGTTGTTATAGATTCAACTACTCGGAACAAGTTCCAAGTAGCACAGGCTATGGTGAGCCCGTAGTGGACTTACCTGGCACAGGAGCGGTGCTGTCCCTGGTGAAACTAGACGTATGCACCCTGCTGAATCTGAGAATAAAACCAGACAGCAGAAGAAAAGCGCCTAGTGGCGCTGCCCACCTAGAATACACGACACGGATACCCCCCACAAGGCAGGCACCGGCAACCCTTACCACACACAGGGGTAACAACCCCGCCAGAGTAGGAGGGTAGAAATAACTTACGCTACTCTATCCTTTTGAGCTGTATTCTAGTCTCAATAAATGTACTTGAACTCGGCGGAGTGAGAGCTTGCAGGCGCCCTTCAAGTCCAGAGGGAATACAGGAGCCTCCAAGGCCCGCCGGACATCCACCGCTTCCGGACCCCAGCTCAAAACCCGCAGTGCAAGCCGGAAAACGCTAGAAAATCTATTAACGCCCCCCGTGGCAATATAGACATGGCGTGGCAACTGTCTGAGGTGTTGAATGAAGGTTCCTTACGGCAAAATGTAACTCTATGGGCAGGAAAAGCAAAAAGATCCCTAGGCGGAGCAGAAGTTAAGGCGTCCGCACAGCGTGAAGGATGAACCAGGAATCCTGGTAGAAATAAATGGGTGTGATCCATCTTCTGTATCTAAACGCTACGCGTACTAGTGGCTGTACAAGAATGTAACAACTCTTGTATATATCTCGAAAAAAAAAAAATATCCATACATACGGTCCTGTGCTGTAGCTGCCTCTAACCCAAGAACAACAACAAAAGGTAGCTGGGAATGGGATTAACCTCTGTTTTAGTCGCCGCTCCTCTATGTACAGCACAACGTAACAAGCACTTTTGAAACTCTTATCATCCTCAACATAAACGCCTCTCCCAACATGTGTAATGGTGCAGTCATCGGGAGGACAAACCCTTCATGCAAACTGCACCTACTATCAAGAAGAAGAGATGATACCCTTGACTTTATGGGAACTCCTAACTTCTGCTTTCCTTAGAAACGTGTTGCATTTGCTGTTCACTGGGTTATGTTTTGCCGTAAAGCATCTTCGTTCAACAACCTGGATGATTGCTACTCCTGAACAACATATCGCCTGGAGTCGCAAGAGCGTTGATAAATTTTTCTTGAAGCATAAAACGGAAGTCCGGAGCCGGCTTGGCCGAGAAGTTCCGGGGATCAGTGAACCTTGACTTCTGTGTTCCCTCTGGAACTAGAGGGGGGCCTGGTTTTTACTTTGAAGCTATCCTATGTGTAGTGAGAGTGTTCGGTCCCTGCCATGCCCCGTACTGTTCTGGGTCTTGAGGTGATGCCCAGTGTGCCATGCTCATGGTAGGTTAGAATTTTTTTTTATCAGGATAGCCTTCGTTCTGTTTCTATACTGAGAACAAGATCAACAGGGTGCACATGACTAGTTATGTCATTGCCCTTATCTCTACTAACAGCAACTGAAGATGAATACAGTTCAGGGCTGGTAGAGCATTACCAGGGAAGACCTCCATCAGTGGTGATGTCTATGGAATGCAGACTACAGGCAATCATTGCATGCAAAAGATTTGCAACCAATAATTAGATATAACTATTTATAGAAAGGGCTTTAATTAATGCAAATTTCACCCAATATGGATGTATATACCCTCAAATTGAAGCTGAAAATCTGTACTTTAACCTCATTGACATAGTATTATTTCAAATCCAATGTGCTCGAGTACAGAGGCAACAAACTGTGTCACTAAGTCAGCACTATATAATTGATTACATAAAATCAATAACTTATTTCTTTGTTCTTTTAAATTTGTAGCTTAGGCCTAGTAGTATTTGAGCTGTACCAGATAACTGATTTTGTTACTCCATACATATGTTTTGTTTGGCGCACATTACTGATATAATGCCCCTCCCTATCCCAAGTTGTAACTAATGCTGCCCCACGGGGCACAGTGATAATACCTATCTATGCATACCTAGTAGAACCTGTATATATATATATATATATGCTTTATAAATTTATATGGAGCCCTTGTACAAATTTATCTTTTTATTTTTATATATTCACAATTGAAAACTCCATATTCTCATACATGCACTTGTTTCTCCTCAGGTTTCTTCCGAAGATCTATTACCAAGAATGCAGTATATCAGTGTAAATATGGCAACAATTGTGAAATGGACATGTATATGAGACGCAAGTGTCAAGAATGTCGCCTGAAGAAATGTCTCAGTGTTGGCATGCGGCCAGAATGTAAGTACCACTTACCCCACTTACTACAAAAGAACTGTACAATATTATGCATGTTAAGCTTGTGGATGATGGTGTAATGAACTACTCAAATGATAAAAAATGTGCCATCAATAACATGCGGTGTGATGAGTCACTGGTATGGCATAACAGTAAATAGATGATAAATATCCATACTACAGTGTTGTAGTTTGCTCGTCCCTCTCTGTCTTGTCCGATCTCTCTTTTTTTTTTCTTTTTTTCCCCCTCACTTGGTCATAGAATTGTATCAAGATTTGCAAGCCAAATTTTCCTGAAATACCTCATCAATGGCCACCATTGGTTTTATTGTTTCACATTTTACTTCTTCATCGTCCTGATTTTCTTGTTGCTATTTGTGTGGTTATCTGATGTGATTTTATTACTGTAGTTGGAAACTTTGTCATTTATCTGTATCTCCTGAGTTAGAACAATTTGTGAGCAAAATATTATGCCAGACATTCCCTAAGTTGGTGTGTTTTTCTGTGACTGGAGTTGACACAACATGCAGTATCACTGTCTTGAGTTTTTATGATTTATTAAGCTCTGTTACAACCATTAAAGTCAGTGAGAGTTCTGAAGTAGTTCTGGTAGTAATGCATTATGTTCTTAATTATGCATTAAACCGTGGGTTTGATCAGGAAATTGGTATCTGTAGAAAGGTATGCAGCAAAACATGCTTCCCTCGACCAAATTAGACAGTTGTTCTTACCCACTTGTTGTTACCTAGTTGTGCTTGTGGGGGTTTTGGTCCCACCTCTCAACACCCAATCAACAGGTGTACAAGCTCTTGAGTTTATTGAGTTCTGTCATATCTACATTTGAAACCATGAATGGAGTCTGCCTCCACCTCATCATTTCTTAATGCATTTTATTTGTTAACTGCAGTACTCTGACACTGAAAAAAATTCTTTCTAATGTCTCTGTAGCTTTTGGGTACCAAGTTTCCACTTATGTTTCCTTGTGCAAGAACGCCCATGCTAAATAACCCGACCACACAATCAGTTCCCCTGAGAATTTTGTATATAGTAATCATGTCTCCTCTAACTTATGTTTTCAAGTGACATGAGGTTTAATTGCTGTAGCTTTTCCTGTAACCCATACCACTCAGTTCTGGGACTAGTCTGGTGGCAAACATTTGACATTTTTCTAACTTCATCTTGTACGTGAATAAATATTTATCCCTTGCTGGAGCTGCATACTCCAGGATCGGTTTAATATATGTGATATAGAAGGTTCTGAATAATTCCTTACTCAAATTCCTAAAGGCAGTTATGTTGGTCAACCTAGCTGTTATCCATTGATATATCAGATATTTTGTGGCAGCCCAATTTTCTAATAGTTCGAATGAAACTCAGGTTCAAAATTACCATTAAACCAATTCATTAATGTATGGTAACTAATCTAAGAATTTTATTGAGCCCTGTTAATTACAGGAAGAGACCCGATTCCTGTAAAATGAGTACAATACAGTATTATAATTATCAAAAAAAAGCACTAAGCCATTATTGCTACAGTATATATTTATATGGAAGTCATATGTTAGTCAAAATTTACTAAATATCACACGGAATTCTAATACAGGAGCAGAGCAACATTCAATTATCTGCATTGAAGAAGTCATATTTATTGAGGATTTTATTGATGTACATTTGGAATAAATGGACAGTTGAGAAGCATATTTTCTGATCATCCAGAAAAAATGGGACACCCATCCACTAGATGTATGAGCAATGCGGAGCAATGCAGTTTGAAAAGAATGGCCAAGTTTGTTAAATTAAGTGCCCATGAGCACAATATTGTGTGGCAGATATGTAACTAGGTTAAGAAAGTTTCCATCAATAATGTTTGAAACTAACACTAATTCCCATGAATTAAGTAAAATTTAGAAATAATTAAAGAACTATAAAATAAAATTAAAGTACAGCACAAGACTGTACTTTTCAAGTACAGGTATTGGAAAATAATAGTTTGGTGAATCAGTACAAGATAGTTTACTAATACTGTACAGTATATACAATAGTTAAATCTTGCACCTATTCTCTGTGAAATGTGTTGTAAATTCCATGGTTTATGAGTTCACTGATGTCATATAAATACAGTGTCGTGTCACTGCATGAAAGGCACACTACAGTGAGATTCTAGATTTGTCCACATAATTTTCTCTTATAATATTAATTTTGAATGTTTTATATTTTCAGGCGTGGTTCCCGAGTCTCAATGCCAGGTAAAACGTGAACAGAAAAAAGCTAGGGATAAAGACAAAAAAGATTATCCCAGCCTTGGTTCCCCCATAGCTGAGGAGAAGGCCATTCATTTTAGTCCAGTGAGTAATGATGTAAGCATACAACAAATTCATTTCAATCTAAATAAGATATTTATAGCTATAAAATTGTCATTATTTTTAATCAAGGACTTTGCTGAATGCTGCATTATAAAAAGTTTAAGATGGAAACTGTTTGCCAGTGGGGTAAATTAAAATTTTTGTAATGGACATACAGTATACAGAATTGCAGAGAAGTAACTGAAAAATCCAGAAAGTGCCCTCTTATAAATGTTGACAGCTGTGTGGCATCCATATCCATATGGGACCTTATAAAGAAATTTATTGTATTTTTTTTGTTTATATCTATCCTAGATTCATTGTAATATTTCAAATACAGTACACATATTTATTCTGTTATAAATTTATCAATTATGCTTTTAAAAGCATTATTTACAAAATTACTTTGTTTCAGTGTAAACCCAAAGGATCACCAACTGCATCCGCTATGCAGTTCAAAAATCTTGTGGGAAGCAGTAACATCTCTCTAAGTCCTGTAAGTAAAATTCGGCCTCGGCAACAAAATTATTTTGATTCCGCATAAGGACAGTTAAGCACATAATTGAATGTCAAAATTTAATGAATTTGCAATAGTGTGCACGTGGTGGTGGAATAGTACAGCTCCGTTAATACTTTACAACGTGCGAGCAAAATTATGCGTTTCTTACAGGATGCTATGGAATCATTAACAGTAACTTGGTAATTAGTTGTTTAACGATATTACAGGAAACGTGTTCAGGTCCATAAATTTGACCTCCAATAGCTTCCATATGGAATATGGTAATTTGCCACAGTATACTGTCATAATGGTGAAAAAGAATTAGACATTTCGAAGTGATTCAGTAGTATTTTCCACTAGTATAATCATATAACTAAATGTGATTGATCTTTCAGTGTTCTATCATACTTGGCATATTCACCTAACAGTTTCGCACATATAGGACACATTCTTGGTCCGTAATTTTTCTCATAGATATGCATCTGGGTGCATCTGTAATTAAAATATTTTTTAAAATTCTAATTTTTATTCGATCATTCTGGGATTCTGGGACTGGTTTTTAAATGAGCGCCTTTAGATTGCGCACAATTTGATACCATAATGAATGACAAATCATGATGTCGGGTGTTGCGGGTGTGAAAATGGAAATACGCTAACGGGTAACGCTTGGCCGACTTTCGGCATTGTTGCAGGTGGGGTGCGCCAGAGTTTTCAACTTTATAATGCATATGTCCCTGTATGGAATTATATTGCGAACACATGGATACCAAAATGAACGATGTACGACAAAAAAATCAAATACTGTAAAAGGAAAAAGAAAAGATTTAATTTTGGATGAATAAAATACATTTATTTCAAATATGCTCAAATTCTCTTAGACACTACATAGCATACTTTCATTATGTCAATAGTTTTGACAGGAATTAGCCATGCACTATTATGCTGTCATAGTAACAGCCTTTATCTGATGGGAAACTGTAGTCGAGTAGGCATGTACTCGGCTAAATAATATGTCGTTCCCGAGCCAAATAGCAAACTTCCCTCTTGCAATACTTTCATTTGAACAAGATTTAAATCTCTAAAATGGGAAATGGCTTATCAGAACATGCTAAGAAAGAAAAAAATGGGCAGATTGAACAGAAAAAAGCAGAGACCCAATGAACAGAATAATAAACATTTGATGCACTTGGAAGAAGACAACAAGATCAGTATAAATTTATACCAGATATAGATAGAGTTCATGACATTTGCCATCCCCCATACTTTCTACACCCTGCCTCTCCACCACATTTTACACCTGTTAATACACTGGAGGATCCTCTCACACCTCCCCTTCAACATCATATCCCACTCCTCACTAAACTGCCCTCATTCTTCTCTTCCCCAACCTTGCAACCCATACAACCTTCCCCATTTTACTTGGCCACCCATTTGCCAATGCACGCATCAAAAACTCCAGATGTGAAAAGCAAAGAAGTTGAAACCAACAAAGTACACCACTGGACTGATCTGCTGGAGGAGATGGAGCTGCAAAAAAAATGCCTGATTCTGGTCACTGGGCCACTGCTGTTTCCCAGCATTGCTGGAAACCATGGCTGCGGCAGCCACCAAGGAGCCAAAAGGGTCACCCTCCCTGAGTACGACTATAGACTGGACAACACCCAGAGCAACAATTAAACTGGGGAAAAAGGTAAATGCAGCTCCACCTCGAAATATCCAGTCGAAAGGCATCTACTGCAAGCACCTCATAATTTGGAAACGGAGCCACATAGGAGGGAAGGTGCTGGTACCATGATGTAAAGAGGTCCACCTTGGGATGAAATGGGGTGGGAGCAGTTTTAAACTCTAAAACTCCAGAAAAGGGAGCTCATGACTGTGCAAGGGCAACATTAGTGGGTAGAGAATAAAACCCTTAGCCTATGCAGCCAAAACCCAGCAAGAGCCAAGCCCACACAACAAGCCAGCACCAGAACACATATGTGAAGCACGTGCTAAAAAAAGATACGATACCCAAAGCAAACAGCCTGCACAGGATAACAGAGTCGAAGGATATCCGGCACTTGAAGAAGTGATTGTGGACTGGAAGCACTACAGGCAGCCCCCACATAGTGCAGCATCAGCAATAGAACAGAGATGGGGAGTAGACTGAGAACTGGGTCCAGGACCCCTGGTGACAGTAATAGGTACTATAAGAGTTTTGAGCTGGTTTGAGTGAATTCCTTGTTCTGTGCAAAACATTTGCTAAGTTGTTTGGCAGTTTTGAGGCTTCATTATCTGTGAATCCTCCAGTTGTTTGTAAAGCTGCAGTTACTTTGCAGTAACATTGCCATAAATAAAGTAAAATCAATAATCACCTGCCATAAAATGAAAAAAAGGTTTAAATTAATCTAAATAAAAGCTAGACATTGCATACTAGACTTTATAGATTATAGTAAGCAAATGGAATGATTTAAAGGGGGATTTAATACAAGCTAATGCAATAAATAGTTTCAAAAGTTGACACAAGAAAAATGAGTATCAGGAGTCATTAGACGGTCAATAGTTGGTAAGGTGGGGTTCATGACCTAATGCTCGTTTACAAGTACATTTATGCAAATACATTTTGCCAAGTGTGCATACACACACACACTGACCATACTCTATAGATTATTGCTCCAGAAAGCTGATAATTGGAACATTATTGTTCCAATTATTGCAGTGGAATCATTTATCTAATGACATACAGTCAGATAGCATGCAAATGGTGATCAGTATCAGTTAATAAAGAGAGGAGATTTATAACATTACAAATAAATACAGTCTAAATAAACAGACTAACATATAAAGTACAGACTACCGGTGAGTCGGCAAACAGCTGTGCGCTTGGCAGCATTTGTAATGTAAACAGTGAGACAGAGGCTGAGGATTGATGGTGTAGGCAGTGGGTCTGAAGCAGGAGTCTGAGGTTGATGAGAAACTGCAAGAGGATGATAAAGTGAACAAAAAAAATAACAAGAAATGGTGGTCTTTGAATGTTTCGTACTAAAATTTTGAATCAAATCTAGTGAAATTAAAAGTTTTATTCATAAATTGTTGTTCATTTATAATTGGGAAAGTTTACATAATAATTACAGTACATTAATTACTTGAGAGAATCTCAATAACAGGATAGCACGCAGACACTCGTTATCAAAATTATAACTGGAAACTGCTTGTAACAACTTATACAAATCATTACAATAATGGCTGAACTAAATAGGTGTACAGCAATCTAAATCTAACTTACATTTTAGACATAAATTGAGTGACTAGCTATTTGAAAGTGATATATTGTAAAAGTGTTGAGGCTTACCATTAGAGCAGTAAAGATATTGGCACAATTTATATCAAAATTAGGATGATAAGACAATTAGAAATAGAGCTGTATAAACTAGTCAAGTCTTTCAAAGAGGGGAAAATTAGAACACAATTGTTAAGTGGTAAAGAATTTTCAGGCAAAGATTATTGTTAAAGTTAATGAGTCGGAGACTGATATATATCCTCATACAGACGATAAGTCACAATAACATAGCTGAAGATAACCCTATGGGTGAAAAGGTATCTCCCTGCTTTCTGCCCTGCATTGTGGCTTGTTGAGCTTGAAACCATTGCTCCCAGTTTGTTACTCTTACAAGTAAAATGGCAAATAATTAAAATACAAGAGGAGAAATCACTTGAGCTGCTGTATACACAACTATTGTGAATTAAGGGATTCAAACAAACTAGTTATATACAGGCATCATGTATGTTTAAAATGCACGAAATGGGATGCATACAACATGGAATTACTCGTCACTTTTAATAACATAGACCTCTGTGGCGAGGAGAGCAAAACTGTGCCAAAACCCTTACAACATTGAAGTTAGCACCTCACTGCACAGCCCAAAATGCCACCCTGGACTAAGGGAATCAAATTAATGGAACCAAAACTAATGGACAAATTCTGGTGTGTGGTTTTGCCATCGTATCTTCAGCCACGTTATTGTGACTCATCGTCTGCACTCCAAACCATATATTTTTGGCCTTCTTTGCCATACATCCTCAAAACATCATGAAATTATCTACAACTAACTTTGTGTTTTTATTATCTCTATTGATCTCAACGTTTGTGCTCTTTTTCATTAATCATCCATAAAAGTATTCTTCATATTTCTTTATTCTTTTTATTCACTTTTTATTTTGAAGATTTCATTCTTTCTATTTGTTTTAGTTGAAATTTATTATTTATATATATTTTTTTTATGGAATTAACTTCCCTTATTAACATCTTGGAGGAATATAGTGGCCCAGCAGAAAGTGGTGTTTCATAACACAGCTCTTTGGTTTTTAATTTTATTATTCTATTTCTTCTTTGTTCACTTTCTAGTTTATTTTGTCTATTAAATTTTTTCTCCCTCAGCTTCTAAGGCTCTGAATCATTTGATTGTATGTCATAGCATTTACTCTGGTACTGATTTGAATTTGATATTGCTGAGCAACATGGCATTTTACAATTCCTTTGACAGGTGTCGGCAATTCCAAGATCAAATGTAAAGCCCTTGACTCGAGAGCAGGAAGAACTGATTCACACGCTAGTCTATTATCAAGAAGAGTTTGAGCAGCCTTCAGAAGAAGAACTAAAGAAAATCAAAGTAAGTTTATAAATGTTCTTATCTTTAGTTACAAGTTCCATGAAGCCCAGTTTTATTATTGGATTTTTACAAATCGTACTTTTTTTTTTTTTATAAAGTTTGCATAGTTTACAGTGGTTGAGGCACATTGGAAAAGAAATGTACTAAAAAAATTAAAATGTTGAAGTAACAGCATACACGAAATAGACACAAAAGATTACAGTACAATGAATGTTGATAGACATGAAATAAATTTTGATGTACAATGCAAATCTTTAAAGATTAATATTATATAAAGAACCAAACCATTTTCACTTTTCTAAAAGGCATATTGTACAGTAATGTGCAATATTTATCCCACACTGTCATGGGGGGCTTGACAGCTGAGTGGACAGTGCTTCGGATGTTAACCTAGCAGTAAATAGATACCTGGGAGTTAGACAGCTGCTACAGGCTGCTTCCTGGGGGTGTGTAACAAAAAGGAGGCCTGGTCGAGGACCGGGCCGCGGGGACGCTAAGCCCCGAAATCGTTTCAAGATAACCTCAAGATGACCACCCCCTCATATGTCCCATCCCACGCCCCTCTTAGGTTAGAGATTTATAGAGACATGATTACTGAGTATTTGGATTAATTGTCATTTGAATCTATGGATTTTGCTCTCTCCTTATGCATTTTTTTTGTTATCTCAGCTATAATAATTTGGAAGCCAGGAGGAAGATTCTTCAAAACATGTTAAATACTGAAATGCGATACAGTACTGTATTGTATTTTAAAAGTGCCATGGTTTAGTTCTTTGATTTATTGAATACTTAATTTACATTATATTGTAATGATTATTTTAATGATAAGGTAAATATATACAGTACTGTAATTTTGTAGTCTGTGTACTGTTATCCAAAAAGGATGCCATATATTCCAAATGGAAGTACAGAAATATGACAATTGTCACACACACAGAAATCACAATAGCATGATGCATCAAATGAACAAATCCACAAATGGGTGTGATGAGATTTTTTTTTTTTTTCGTGTCGTGGCACAGTTGATTAAGGCAGTGTCTGGGATCCTCTCAGACGTAGGTTCGAACCCTCATCACGGCCCTTGTGGATTTGTTCGTGACAATTGTCATTACTGTATAACTCTCAAGGCAACCGTTTCATCCACTTGGCCACAACCTGTGTTTACATGTCATATTAAGTCTTGTTGGCATGTATGACATTACAAAATTTCAGAAAGTGTGGGACTATAACAGCTGTTGATTTTAAGGTCAAAATAATGATGTGATAGTCAATTCATTTAACAATTTACATATATTATTGTTTAACTTGGTTATGATTTTTTACATTTTCTTTGTTATTGGTTTTAACAACTTAAAATATTTAAATTATGTATTGTGTAGTTATAGTCTTTAATTCAGCCTATTTTATATCAAGTGGGGAGTAGGGATCAGTAATTATAATCTAAGTATAGATATACTTGAATGAATTAAAAAAAATTGTGTTATTACAAAGATTAAAGAACATTCTTTGGAATATAATGCAAGCACAGTACACTACACTTCATGCAGATATTTATCAGCTGTATAGTACTAGACATTAACTTTCTGATAGCGAGTTAATAAAAAATATTCAATTATCTCGGCAATAATTTAATTTGTTAAAAAAATAAGGCTTTGAGTATATATAAAAGGCTGTTCTCTAAGGAGGACTCTCCGTTGTTTCCTAAGGTAAGATCATCTATGTCCTATGGAGAGGATCATCAGTCACGATGACATTCTATTATAGCTGCTACAGGGAACATTTCAGTTATCCTCAATCCACCTGGGAATAACTTCCAGAAAGCTTGATCATATAATTTCAAAGCTCTTTAAGACCCTCCTAAGAATCACAAGTGGGCTCCAGTGGAACACCCTTGTTGACTACCAGTTGACTTAACCTGCCTAGACCACCACAAGGCAGCATAACCTCACCAACAATAGGGCTAACTTAGTTCTCCCCTCATTCTTCTTTAACCAAAGGATGAACTCTACATGCAGGGGTAGTAAGGACAAACAGGAGCAACCACTTGATAAAGTATGTACAGTACTGTATGTGTATACCTAAAGCCATATTTCTGAGCTTTCCTTTCTCTTGCTCCCTAAAGTAAAGGTATTAATTTAAGCAGAAGTACACAATACCCCACTGAGTGGTTTCTGAATGAAGATGACAGGAGGCTAATGTTTCCTGAGATGGCTTGGTAAACACTGGCCACCTCAGGAAACTTGGACAACATCACAGCTGCAAGAAGGCAACATCACCAGTTCTCCACACTGGTGATAACAACAGAAAAGTTTCAGTAAATAGTAGACAGCAAATACCCAGATGCTTGATGAAAGCCAAAGAGTGAAGAGTACACTGCCTGGCCAAGATGAATCAGGATGTAACACCAGCTCAGCCACTTGCACAAGGAAGTTCATGAGGAAGCATCTGCCAAGGGCCACATGATTGTAGCCCTAGAGGGAAATTGTGGAATTTTACAGAAATACATCATGCAGTATGCAGATGAGCAGTCATAATAACGTGGCTGAAAAATGTTGACAAAACCACACACTAAAAACTGAAGAGGGGACGACGTTTCTTCCATCCTGGACCATTATCAAGTCGATAATGGGTCGACTGACCCATTATCACAATCATCTTGATAATGGTCCAGGACGGACCAAAACGTCATCGTCTCTTCACTTTCTAGTGTATGGTTTGGTCAACATCATGCTGTAGGTCTACTAGAAACTACATTCTGATAACAATGCTGAACATGGAGAAGAAACCAAGCCTGAACCATAGATCTTAAAATCATGAAATACTCAAGCCTGGTGAAGCTTCATTTATTTACACAGCAGCTGTAATATGTGGACCTAGGAGCAAGAGAACATTGACCCCAATTTTAAGAACATGCTAGCAGAGGAGACAAAATGGGAGGCCAAAATGGGAGTGCCAAAACAGTGATATGACAATGTGTGTAATTACCTAAGTGTAGTTACAGGATGAGAGCTATGCTCGTTGTGTCCCGTCCCCCCAGCACTCACCCAGCACACACACACACACCCAGTGTGTGTGTGTGTGTGGCATCGCAGGGTGCAAGAGCCAAACTTGAAGGACAAATGCCCCCATGCAAGAGGAGTAAGTCAAATCTAACACAAGTAATCTGGTTTGGATGAGGGTACACAAACGTACTTTCCCAAGCAAGACATTGGAGTCAGACGGGATACTTTAAGACACAATCCCATGGTAGCAACCATGGTCTATTGGCTGAGCACCAAGACTGATAGAAGTACTGAAGAAGATAGCTGCTGCAATGAAAGCCAATAAATCCCCTGAGAATCAGAATTCTCGGTGAACAAGTCTGTAAACTATGTCTTATCAGCACTTGCTGGCATCACAGATTGTCTCCTCTGCAAGTACTGTATATTCCTTCAACTGTAGTCATTGATCCCTTGCTCATTGGTCTGCATCTGTAGATGCTGTGCAGGTAAGTGAAGCTTTGTAAACCTTGTGTATTTTGTGAGATGCATGACTTGCTGGTCTGCACCTCTAGCACAGCTTTCTTCTCTGCCATGTCTGGCATGGAGATTAGAGCTCTAGGTTTCCAGTGGACCACCAAATGATGTTTGGTATCTTCCAACAATTTGACCTTTAAGGTTGCTATTATATAGATCTGCGCAGAATCTTCTCATACTGAGTCATCTCTGTGCTGGGTGTCCTTGCTTCCTGGCTCATCTTGGCCATGCAGCATGCTCTTTATCTATTAGTTTTCCTCGAGCACCAGTTTCTAGCATCCTGGGCATTTCCTGCCTACTATCTACTAACATGTTTCACCTTGCACTGCATGGATCACACACACTAGCCATCTCTTTTGATGGCTGTGTGGTTACCCATGCTCACTCTGGTGAATTGTGCCTTTGCTCTGGCTTCCTGCTGTTTTATCCATTAGGCACCACTGTGCTACAGGTAAACCTTCCAATATTTTTCTGTTCAAGGTTATTGTGTTGCTCTTAATACCATTGCCTTAGACAGCAAACTAGTGGGATCGCTCAGAAATAAGAATTTGCATGTACAGTACTGTATGTGAAACTTGCCTTTCTAAGCAGGACGTTCGAGGAAACCCTGTCGTGGGCAAGATGCTTCTGCCTAGTGATGGTTTAGGCAGGTAGCCAGGTAAGTTGGCTAGTAATTACATATTCAGAACTCCATTGGCAGTTACTTGTGATGCCAAGAAGGGCTTGAAAGGGCTTTTGAGAGTATATGATCTGACCCTCTTGAGGATTTCATTCCAAGTTGGATTGAGGATTCTCCAGTGCTCCATACTACCAATATAACCCTCATGGGACAAATTGAAATTCTGTCTGCAGAGCAAGTGCCAGAAGGCTGCTCTGTCTGAATGCCTTGATCTTGTTCATAGGACAAAGATGTTACTTTAGGAAGCAACTAAATGGGATATAAACAGCATTCATAATACAGAATTTCGGATTAATTTTACTGTTTATTATAAAAAATTAGTCATCATGATGTTTAAAATTAAGATTTCAGTACATTAAAATAAAACCTGAAATACCGCCTGAAATCTTATTTAGTAGTGGGTTTGCCTATCACCGTAGAATATGTAACATGCACTTTGAACAGTGCTTGATGGGACTTATAGGAAATGTAAGGGAGCAAGCTTATCCAGCTATGTATAGGAATATGCTACTATAACAACACTTTGTACAGAGTTTTTATGATTTGTTTTCAGCTAATGTACTCCTAAGTTTATTAGGCCACAATAACCAACATTTTCAGGAATCAGGATTGTTTTTGTATTTCTTCAAGTATTCAAGTATACTGTATTTATACAGTATCAATGATGTATACACCACCACCATATATCACCATAAATACATTAAGCCTGACACTGAAACAACAAATTGCCTGAACAAATAAATAATGTATGAACATGTACTGAAACCTGTATGAGAGGAGAAAGCTTCCATTATACAGAGATTAACACATAACGAATACTCTTTCAGGAATTGGCTCTCTTGATATTTGATCTATCAGACTTTGTTTTGGTGATTGGGAATCTTGCATGTTTGCAGCTTTTTATTTTTGCATGAGCTCTTTATCATTCTTGTATTTTGCCTTTAACCTGCTAAGTAAACTGAAGCCTATAATTTGTTGAAATTTGAATGAAGTGATGGATTGTTTGTGAAAATTGGAAATGCAGTAGTCTAGTTCCCATTAACAGCATTCGTGAACATGTTCAGATAAATTAGTGTATCGCCATCACTTTTGTTTTTTAATTCGTTGTGTTTATTTGTGAACAAATTAAAAGATACTTTAGACTGAATAAGCGTCCTGTCAAATAAAAATAAAATGTTAAGTTTTCTGTTATATGCTTTTATGTACATTTTAGAATGGTATCAATGATCAATTCATATGCTTATACCGTCAGAATATATGATAACCCGCTGCATTAAAAGATTAAATAGCGTGAGGAACAAAGGTAAACCCTCGTCACGGCCCTTGTGGATTTGTTCATGTGATGCATCACGCTATCGTGATTTCTGTGTGTAACAAAGTTAAAGGTCTAAACTACCTACTGTACTTTGTTTCCATTAAGAGAATAATGATAAACTTTAGAAGCCTAATAATCTAAAATAAATGATTATACTTAGATAAATTATGGGAACTATCCTAAAGTATTTATCCAGTGATTTGTGCTAAGCGTAGGCTTTGTATCGGACATATGGGTGTTAAAATTATTATATGGTTACATTTAGCTGGACTATGTTCAATGGGCTCATAAAGCATAGTGTGTTTATCAACAATGCTATTATCAAGACTTTAAACGCTACAGATAGTATATGTTAATGTATTTCAGTATGGCAAAAAATAGAAATACAGTACTGCACTTTAAAAAGAAAAAAAAGAGGGGCGTGACAAACGCTTGTTTACAGTGTATAATAGAGCCTCTTTTCCTATAAACACGTTTTGATAGATGATCACAGGCGATACTTCTTAGGGATATTCTATATAACATACTTAAAGGAAATTGTGATATTCATTTCTAAGCACATGTAAGATACATGGGCAGTTAATAAGATCTTGATTTATGTATTGGCTCGTTTTATGCTTAATTGCGGTAAAACCAAGTACAGGAGATGGAAGGTTAGAATTTGTTTATCAGCATACATACAGTAAACTGCTATTGACACTGCCATTAATTTTTTTTTTTTGTAATCTTAGATATTCCAGCCAATGAATATCATTAGCATTTACATTGTTGGCCAACCTAAAATAGAAACATTTAGCTAAATACTGTACAGTATACCTAAGACTGCCATCTCTAAGGGGCTTGATTAAGACAGTGTGTACAGTCTTTATATATATGTATGAATGTGTATATATGGATTTATTGATGAAACAAATTGCATGCTAACTTAATATACTGCACAAGTGATGCAGTTGCCTGCTGCTTATAGTAAAGTATAAAGTTCCTCAAATGGTAAAGCATTCAAATACATTTGTATGTTTAAATAGCAACTATTCATGAGAACTAAAAGGCCAGTAGAAGACAGATGCAAAAGGCAGTGCTTTTAAAACCATCCTTAAAACTTTTAAAACTGTTAAAAGTTCTTTAAAATTTGTAGTCCAGTCTGTTGGTACAGGCCATTGTAGCATCAAAGAAGAAACTTTTAGAAAATATTACTGGACACTATTCCTCATTGTTTCCCATTAAAAGTTTACATTAAAAATGTCTCTTTATTTTTCTAGTTTGCTAGAATTTTAACATCATAGAAAATCATTTACTATTAAAGGAAATTTATTATGGAATTTAAAATGACAATACCTGTCTTCTTACACAATGATAGCATATTATTTTAATACAGTTCTGTATTTAAAACACATATAACCTTAAAACAAATTGAAAGGAATTTAATAATTTAATATTTCATACTTAATTTACAGACAAGACCATTTAAAGTTACTGTACATGGTAAAACATATTACTGGACTGACAAAGTATTTACCATAAATTTGAAAGATAATAAGAAAAGCCTTTATAGTCACAGTTTGATAACGAATTAGTCGTTGAGGTTTTATTCATTATGGTAATTACTATTAAACTTTTGCTTATGAATTAGACTCCTGCATTAATGGGTTATAGAGACCCTGTGACAATACAGAACTAGACAAAATGAGTATGTTTGTGTTTTCTGCATGCCAGTTTGTGAGAGTAATATGGGAGTTAAAGGGTGTGCGCATTCTGGGGTATGTGAGTGTGAGAGTTCAAGAGTATATGTGGGGGAATAGGTTCATGCACACATGCATGCATGTAAAGGTGTATGTAGTATGAAAGGGTGCTTGCATGTGGTGTGAAGATATGTATGTATGTATGTATACAGTACATGTTTAATTGTGTGAAGAGTGTAACTATGTGTAAAAGTGTCTGTGTTTATGTAGAATTTTTTTTTATAAGCTCCTCTTAATCGCTGGCAAAATTATATATTCGATCTGTACACCAAAGCGAGGTTGAACCAACTTCTTTTTTTGCCATAAACTTACAAGTGTGACTTTGAAAGTCAGAATACAGTACTCGAATATTTCAACATTTGTGTTTCAGTTTATTAGCTTGGTTTCTTTGACTTGACTTGACTTGTAAATATACAACTGACTAAAGATCATTATCTGAACACTGTAACTATTAAAGTGTTCCCTTACTTCTTGTGAATCATTTTCAGTCATTTCCTCACAAAGTGGCTTCTGTTTCCTTTCTTCAGTTTACCTTCGATGGTGAAGATACAAGTGACATGAGATTCAGGCACATAACCGAGATGACGATCCTCACAGTTCAGCTCATTGTGGAATTCTCCAAGCAACTACCTGGTTTCGGCACTCTTCAACGAGAAGACCAGATTACTCTGCTCAAGGTACACAGTCCAGCAAATGAAAATGGTGGATTGATGAGCAAATTTATTGCAGGAGAACTAATAATTTCTTGTGACCTTTGGGAGACTTCTTGGTTAAAAGAAAATTCTATGGTACCTTTGAACCATAGATTGTCCATGCACTAAATGCAAAAAGAGGAATTTATTGACAATGAACCCAGAAATCTCCATTTCAGATAAGCTTTGGAACTTCTTGGCTCAGCAGAATATACAAAGGGAAAGCCATTCCAAGATCTGATGATGATACCCAGAATGATCAGTGAAGTCCTCTGTGTATTCTATTCAAGAAAATATTAAGCACACACAATGACATTTCTTTCTTGAATCTTAGACTGAACCAAAGAACAAATAAGCATGTAGTTTCAGGGACCATCATCATCATTACAAGGAATTGCTTTCTCCATGTTCTGTCATCTGAAGAATGCAGGAAGCATAGTGACTGCTTTGTAAGTTGGTGGTTCCTTTGACTTCTTCTAGGATTACGAAATAAGTGAAGACGACTCGGATGCCAAGTTTAAACACATCACAGACATGACCATCCTCACAGTCCAGCTGATCGTAGAGTTCTCCAAGCGTCTTCCTGGATTTGACACACTACTCAGGGAGGACCAGATTACACTTCTAAAGGTAGATAAGAAAAGTAGAGATAGTTTCTGGTAGAAGGTAAGTTGACACGTGTAGAGAAAATAGATAAGAAGTTGTTATTGTGCTGTTCCTCTGATGACTATTTTAGTTGAGATAATAGTATTTTCAATGGTTAATAATACACAGAGCAGCACAATGATAAACATCACCAGGGTTATCGATGAGAATAAGTAATGCATCAACTTGATATGGTATGATATCCATTGTTTGGGAAAAGGGCGCCTGTCAGGCACATTGAGGTGCACCTAGCCAGTGTGTGGCTTAAATACATAGAGACAGCCAGTACTATAATGGCAGTGATGCTTGCATCACCCACTCTGTCGTACCATTAACTAAGATTAGACACTTTATGGGGGGCGAGCATGGTGCTATGTGCTGCCATCACAAGCAAGGGTAGACCTTCTAATGATTTTTTGGCAGCATTGTTTCCTCAGTTTGTACCTGTGTCCTCTTGTTCTTGAAATTGCAGATTTCAAAGATTCCTCTTTGTAAATTTTGTCTTTTTCTGTTACTATTTTGTATGTGGGATGACTTTTGTCACTGTATTACACAAAAGGGAAAAATTAGGAATTAGGAGAGGGGTGAAGAAGCAATACAAGAATGATATAGCATTTAAGCCAAGACCCAACCTAAATTGTTCCACGGGCAAATCAGGGAAAGTATAAGGTAGTATTCAAAATTTTTAATGAAAGCTTTCAGGAAGTTTAAGCTGGAACCTGGTGTGTGTGCCACTAGAGCCAAGAACCATGGCAGGACACACCCTCTCAAGAGAGACTATCAGAAATAGAGGCAACTGCAGAAGAATGAAAATAACTAGAGAAGCAGAATTTAATGCAAGTCACAGGCACAGACAAGATATTATGGTTACTAAAGAAGAAAGCACCATATAGAGCCCTAGGTTATAGCATTCAACTTTTCATTGATAGAGGGAGGACATTCAGACTGTTGGAAAATGGCTATTGTGGTGCCAATTTAAAAGTTTTAGTTTAGTTCATTTATTATGCACCTCATCGGGGAGCCGGTCGGCCGAGCGGACAGCACGCGGGACTTGTGATCCTGTGGTCCTGGGTTCGATCCCAGGCGCCGGCGAGAAACAATGGGCAGAGTTTCTTTCACCCTATGCCCCTGTTACCTAGCAGTAAAATAGGTACCTGGGTGTTAGTCAGCTGTCACGGGCTGCTTCATGGGGATGGAGGCCTGGTCGAGGACCGAGCCGCGGGGACACTAAAGCCCCGAAATCATCTCAAGATAACCTCAAGATAACCCCATACCCATCCAGGGGGTGGTAGTGGAAAGGGTTACAGAGGCACATAATTGGCTCAGGGACTGAACCCCACAATTCATTTAGCTAAGCAAGTTACATTCTTAATGAGCTAGTTACAAAATTCAGTGCACGTCTTCACATCAACAATGGACTCGAGACCGACCACAAATACAGTTTCTAAATTAAGCAACTGACATATGTGGAGAGCTAGTGTCACAATTGCTATGTTTATCCTGCACACCACCCCACTGTCCAGTGGGCAGCAGTGGATTGGTTACAATCACAGTTATTACCTACAGTTAGCAAACTGGGGATATTTGGCCAATATAAAAGAAGGAAAAAGAAAGACAAGAACCACTGAACTACAGACCAGTGTTACTAACAAACATTCTCTGCAAGTTACTAAAGATGAACTTGCAATAGTATTGTGGAACACTTAGAACAGCTCAATTTTGCCTTAAAACATCAGTATGGATTTAACAAGGGAAAACATTACTTGATGAACTTCGTTCTGGGAGAAACCAAACAAGATAGATTGTTACAGTATAGGAATGTTGCATATTCTTCAGTTGTCAGAAAGCTTTGATACCGTCTCATACAAGACTAGTGCTCAAGTTAGAGAAGCAGACTAGTTTATCTGCAAGAGTGCTAAAATGGGTAAGGGGTACTTCTTGAGAAGGAAACAAAAGATTACAATCAAAGATATCAGAGTAGAGAAACATACCTGGGCCATACCTTAGTACAGTGTATGTCAACAACCTATCAGAAGAAATTGACTCCTTCATGTCATTGTTTACTGATGGTGCAGAATCAATAAGAAATCAAAACAGGGAGATTGATTGATACACACAGAAATCACAATAGTGTGATGCATCAAATGAACAAATTCACAAGGGCTGTGATGAGGGTTCGAACCTACATCTGGGATAATCCCAGATGCGCCTTAGTCAACTGCGCCACGACATGGTCATAAGAATTGCAACCGGGAGTGCTACTACCCCCTCACACAGATCCTGCAGTCTCTCCTTGGTGCATGGTCATTCTTATGACCATGTCGTGGCGTAGTTGACTAAGGCATGTCTGGGATTATCCTGGACGTAGGTTTGAACCCTCATCACGGCCCTTGTGGATTTGTTCATTTGATGCATCATGCTATTGTGATTTCTGTGTGTATTGAAGTAAGGGCGAAGAGGTAGAACAGCTTGTTGACAGAGCCCGGGTGCATGGGGGAATTGTGTAAAACCCCGGTTTGTGTGTCTGAGAGGCTGTAGGATCCGTGTGAGGGCAGTAGCACTCCCGGTTCCAATTCTTATGACCATGCCATGGCGCAGTCAACTAAGGCGCGACTGGGATTATCCCGGACGTAGATTTGAACCCTCATCACGGCCCTTGTGGATTTGTTTAGGGAGATTGATATCTTGCAGATGAATAATACAGTACACACTTCAAAGGTGGCCTGAAAAATAGCTACTGAACTTTAACCCATACAAATGCAAAGCTGTGAAGACAAGAACAAGAGTGAGAAGACCCTTACCGCATTACAGATAAGAAGGTGAGACAGATAAGGTATACAAAAAAAAAGAATGGCCTTAATGAGAGACATAGCCTCAAATTTAATGCAAAAGGCACCATGCTATTAGCAGAGCAACATTAGTTGCTTATGCAAATTTGGCCAATATCTTTGTAGCCTTTGGGAACTTGGACAAAGGGGCCTTCTGGTTCTTATATACCATCTACTGTATGAGATCCACCCTTGTGCAATCCAAGCATGGAATTCTTCCTTGAAAAGCACAAAAGTTTTTCCTAGAAAGTTCAAAGATGTACAAAGAAGTAAGCATAGAGGGGTAAAATAAATATGAAATGGAAAAGGGTGAAATATTTCAACCATTTCCTTCTAGTTTCTCTAACCAATATCTGCTTAATTAGTTTTTAGTTGCCATTAGGCCTCTTGCAGTTTCCTTTATTCATATGTTAGCTCAGTTTCATACTTCTCCACTTACCCTTCACCTGCTTCCACTCCACCTTTCTTAACTAATATTGACCCCCAATTCTAGCTTATGTCTAGCTTTTATGGCCTACTCATGCCCGTGCCACCTCATGAGTGGCTTAATCTTCATCAATCAATCAGCTTATGTCATGATCTAATAAGGGTCCAGAATGAATTGAAACATGGTCTCTCATTTTAATTCATGTGTGGCTTGGTCAACCTGTCCTCATGGGGGAGGGTGTTCACTCTCGTGGTAATCACCACCTCAGTCTATTTTTTTATTACCCTAATGGCTCCAAAACACGTTACTTTTAAATAGTGCTTTAATGTATGTACAAACCTTGGTCAACATACAGTACTAAGCTTAGGATAGCAGTTAGATAGCAGTTAACTCAACCTAACCAGACCTAGGTTTGGTTAGGTTGGGTTAACTTAGGTTACATTAATGGTACCAAGATGCCCTCTGTACTTGTTTCTTTTATGTACAGTACTGTAGTAGCTAACCTGAGGATGGGCTGCTATTTTAAAAGCTGGGAATATAATAATGTACAGTAATAACTTGAGAATATCTCACTCTTTTAGGATAAAGGTTCACTTGCCAGTTGACCAAGACTATTTACGGATCCTTAACAAGTCTTGGTAAAACTAGATAAGTATCTAGGTGGTTAAACAGAGGGGAGGGGGTGATTGATACTCATCAGTCACTAGACCAAGTTCATGAATGCATCATCTAAATAGTAGTAAATTCACTAGATGTACAGAGTTCATAAAAAATCTAACCTGTGGACAGGTTGGGGTTGGCATATTTATTTATTTATTTATTTATTTATTTATTTATTTATTTATTTAAAAATGGTAAAATACTAGAATGTTAAAGCAAAGACAATAAAGGGTTATGCAAATAGGAAGCTAGTCTTACTGGAAAGTATTGCGAGTGGAGTACTGCAAGGTTCCATTTTTAGAGCCAACCCTCTTAGCAATATTCATCAACATAAATGACAAATCACAAACCATATCAAATTCACAGATGACTTCTTGACCAAAGCAGTTGGGTGAACAGTCTCTCACTTAAGAGGCTGAATGACTTGGGGTCAAAAGAATGACCAGCAGTGATCAAAACTGCCAAATGGCATTCTTAAAAACTGCAAACTATAGTGTCAGTCTTGTAGTCAGACAGGAAGGCCATAAGGATCTGACTGAAAACAGAAACGTTGAAAAATCTCCATGAGTGAGGGCTACTATTTACCTAACTCACTGACAGACAGGCATTCTGGGTGCAATGCAAATGTCTTAGAGACATCCCTAACCCAGACCATAAACACTCAGTGTGAAAAGGCATAAGCCGCTTCAGATTAAAATAATCACCTAAGCCAAACGTAGCTTTGGTAAAAGTGCAAATCCCTCCCACAGTTGCAAGGAACATTATCACATTGTTTATAAATCTGAATCCCCACAAAGGTTTTGCTTTGTTGTGAAGTGGGGGCTCGTGTAGACTTTCTGGTGCCAGTAGGGGGTTGCCTTGATCTCTTGTCTCCCTCTGGGCATTGTACGTGTGAAGAAGGCATGTTAACCAACATTGATCAGACCAGCAACCAGGAGGCCTGGTCAAAGACCAGGCTGCGGGAACATTGCTCCCAGAAATCAACAGCAGATAGTCAACAGGTAGGGGTTGCCTGGGATACATGTCACATAAAGATGGTTTGTCAAAAGATTTTATAACCTACCCAACCTTATCGAGCCCAACACACCCTAAACTAAGCTAATACATCTTAACCTAGCAATGCATGTGATTTTTAACAAACAGAAAACAAGCTTTGTCGAATCATCTTGTATACTATATGACCAGATCCTGTTGCCCATGAGGGGCTGCCTCTTGGATGTTGGTTGGGTGTTGATCCTGGGGCATGAGCATGGGGCACAAGGGAGAAAAAGGGCTTTGCACCGGTCCTGGAGAATGTTCAGTGAAGTAGGACTTCCCTGTTGAAAATAGGGAGTACCCCACACCTCTTTCTGTTGTGGCCAGTGCTCGGCCTCCATTACTGCTCTGGTGGGTAGTATTCCTTAGCTCCAGGGGGTCTAAACTTTACCATAAGCATTCTGTTTGTTTAACAAATTCACTTCTCAGGTTCTTGGGGTGGAGGACCAGCCCCCTGGGTCAGATTGTGATGGAAGATTGATCTCCATAGCTTCGGCTACAACGTGCTCAGACCTGGCTTCATCTTTAGTTTACCCTGCTGACCCCCTCCATTCTCTAACCACTTCCTTGGCAGGGATGACTCCTAAGTTCCAAATAGTGACTACTTTGTCACCTGGAGTGACTTCATCGTTGCTTGTTTTGTCCCCTTCTTACTGGAGGACCATAGTCATCCTCACAATCAAACATGTGCATTTTCATCAACCTCTGCTATGTTCCATTAGCTCTTTGGCTCCACTATGTGGCCTGAATATTTTGATGTTTGTCATGATAACCTTACCCACCCTGGTGATTACACTTGCATAAATACCCTGTTGACTTTCTGAATACACATTACCTTTAACCCTCAAACTATTGCTGTCATCCTCAAGCAATAGACCGACAATGCTCGTGTTGTCTGTTAATGACTTCTTTCCTTCAGTGGCAGCTCTAACTTGTAATCAAGAACTTCTGCTATGACTTTTAATAGGAGACATGTCATTCCTCATCTCCCATTGTTTCTCTGTGGAAATCCCCTTATGTATAAGCATAATGCTAAACTCTTGGGGTTGATTTGTGACACCCATTTGTCTTGATTGAGCCAAGACCTCTCCCCCGAATTGAATGCTTTAAGGTCCTTACCATAATTGGTCTTGTCCCATACTTCCTGGGGAGCTGATAGATGCACATTCCTCCATTTACACTCTTCTGTTGTGCTGTCTAAACCCAATTATCACTGCCCTGTGTATTACTCTGCCTCTCTCTCAACCTTTCATCATATTGATGTTCTGCATCATACTGGGTTATGCCTTTGCTCTGGTCCCTTTCATTCAGCATCCACCCAGAGCTTATGCTGAAACTAATGTCTTGTTTCTAGAGGATCGTAGTGATCATTACTGCCTTCACAACCTTGTGCGGGTCTTGCAATATCACCACTCCTGCTTGTGCCGTACTTTGAGTACTGCATTTCAAGGAGGGCTCTGTTCCTTCTTCACACCATCCTTTTCCTGCAAGAATGGCTAACTTATAACATTCTCAGTTCATGTTTGCAATATCATCCCTTGTGTTGTTCCTACCTTGTCCCCATGGAGGGTCAAATTTGTGACTTTTGCAAGACCCTGAGCCACATGGTGGAGGCTTATACCCATCCTCCTGTTCAGAATTTTATTTTCTTTGAACATTTCTGGAAGGGGTGAATGATGGGTTCCTGAAGCTAGCTAGCTCACTGAGGTAGCTCCACACAATAGCATCAACCTTAGGAGTGCTGAATGACTTACTGGGGACTGGAGCCATAATTGGGCCCCCTCACAGAAGCACAGGGAGCAGGGTATTTTTATGATTCCCCATATTGAGGAAATATCCAGAAAGTTAAACACAGGATTCAAAATTAACTGCGGGAAGCTGGGGTAGGGTGCACCCCCAACCAAGCACTTGCTTGAGGAAGCAGTATGACATGTTATGCCGGACATGATCCTTAGTTTCAATGGAAAAGCACATAAGCAGATCAAGGGAACAGCCATAGGGGCCTCAGTAGCATAGCAATAGCAAAGATCATTATCCACATAGCCTTTGAATCGAAGAGGACGAACAGAATAGAATGCCTGATAACCTACCATAGATACATAGACGATATCTTTGGCATCGTAGTAGGAGGAAGCCAAAAGATAAAAGCTTTCTTCCCATGAACAAACACGGCACACTGTAACCTGAGATTCACCCCTAGACACTCGATATCTTTCCTGGACACGATGGTGTACTTAGATGAACACGAAAGGACTCTACAAACAAAAGCATTCTACAAACCGACAAACCTTCACTCATACCTTGCTTACATATTGGGATTACCCACTTTCCCTGAAGACCTCCCTACCCTTCTCTCAAGGATTGACTCAAAAGGATCACATGGAAAGAACAGGACCTCCTATCAGAGTTAGAAAACCTCTGGGAACTTTTCAGAAATAGTGGCTACCCAGATGGAGCACTGAAAAAAGCAGCTGAAAACTCAGAATCCTGGAGAGGGGTGCACTCCTACAAGCAACCAAAAGAAAAACAATCTAGACAGATGGATCCTACCAGCACTCTTCTTCTCAGAGCTCACAGCCCCCCCCCCCTTACAACTGAACCTACAGGACATATGGGATTAGATGAGGGAAACCTATGGAGACCACCCAATTTGGCCCCTCTTTCCAAAGATACCCCCAATGGTGGCCTGGAGAACGGGAAAATCACTAAGGGACCACTTAGTCCGAGCACATTTCTCATAGACAACCGTCTCTTCCGACTGTGCTACGACCCATATAGAGAACACCAGCTGAGCATCAACAGTTAAACCTAGCAGCCAAGACAAGCTTAAGACATGCAACCTAGTTTGGATTTTATTGTTTGTTGCTATTTGAATTTTTTGTATCTTGTGATTACTGCATTATCTTTATGCAAGTTGCTCTTAACCACTTGACAGTTCTCGGAGTACTGTCCCATAATGCAGAAGTACCAATTGAAATGTGACTTGTGTATTGTGATATGCCTGGGACTAAAGTCACACTTGTTATACTACACTTGGGATGTTCACTGCTAAACATGATTTTAATTTATGATTTAAAGCCAACAATTTATTATACCCCATTTATGCAATTTTTTTTTTTGGTATGTGTGTGTGTGTGTGTGTATTTTAATACTGTATCTTCCATCAATTTTTTGTTTCACGAATAGTCAGATTTTATCATTAATGGTTTTGTTGCAAAATTTTAATGTTTATCAATTTGATAACAATTAGTTTTGATAAAATCAACTGGAGCTCTGAGGTGACTCCCAGCCACTGACACTAATCACTGGATCATCATGACTTGGTAAAAGTTATAGAACTGGATTTCTACTCAAATCACAGGAAGTCTGGAGGCCCTTACTGAAGCCTGTCCAAGTTTTAAGTACAGCTCCAAAGCCCTCAGGTGTGGGAAAAGTAGTTCATCCACCGTCATTCATTAAATTATAACTTTAAACAAGTCAGGGTGTTCCAGTGGTTAGCATCAGCGGCTGGGAAAGTCTGGGTTGCAGGTTTCAGCCACCTCAAAGATCCAGTTGATTTTCTCATTGATACAGTATATATCACGTTAGCGTGATTTCTCTGTGTAACTGACTTCCTATTTTGATGCATTGAGTGTTATTGTTTTAAGACACTGAATTAGTTCCAAGAGAGTTTTAAGTCTATCTCGAGCTTAAAATTGAGCTTTCATGCAAATGGACCCTAACTAGGGGCATTTTATAACTGGAGAATGTTTAATTCTAATTTAATTACTGGTGATCAGTAATTGGAAGTGATCATATTTGCAACAAATCGTCAAAACATAGGGATCTAAATCTGTTTCACGTAGTAGTCATTTCCCTGTTTAGGAATTAAAAATACTTCATGCATGACTTGGCTGCTGCTGATTAAGCTGTAAAAGAACCTCACCAACTTGCAGTGTTTCTCAAAACAAATTATGCTTCTGAAATTTAATTATGCAGCTAAAGGGTTAATGTTAAATGTAATATAGTTTGAGTTTGTCTATTTTTTATTGCCATGTCTGGCAGCTAAATTTATAAAACCTGTTGTTGTGGCAGTTAATTAAGGTGACTAATAATGAGACTGAATTGTTGTGTTTGTGCATAACAGCTGTACATATACAAGTATATATCTGACTATATATATATATATATATATAGCTAGGTGTTTGTGGTCATTATTATGAACACAAACACCAGACTTTTTTTGCGCAAAACGTTTTAATGAAAGACTATACAGTAATATATTGCATTCTAAATATTAATGCATTTAAGTGTTCAATTTGTTGCCGAGATTAGTTGCCACTTCTTCATCCAGGTTTAGTGCCCTTATCACATAATTATACATAGGGAGTTACCTTGACTTCAGTTGTATTTTTTCCATTCAAGCTTGTATAAAATTACTTATATATTTAGGTAGAGTTGCATATTAAGTGAGCGGATTTCATGAAGTATTCCCCGTTTACTTTTTTATTATTAAATTTTAATAATATTTAGAGATAACTGCTTAGGGGAATTTTCTGTTAATATTGTGTTTAACTTTATAAATTTAGTGAATGGGAAGTATTTTCATGACTAAACTCAGAGTGTAGGCTTGAAAATTTCTGATACCTTTATTTAGCTTTATAGTATGGAAATAATGAATGCTTCTGAAAAAAGTGTTAAACAATATCAATTTTTTTCCAGGCATGCTCTTCTGAGGTGATGATGCTTAGAGCTGCACGGCGCTATGATTCCAAGACTGATTCAATTGTATTTGGAAATAACTTTCCATATACACAACACTCCTATGAGTTAGCAGGCTTGGGAGAGTCGGCCGGTACACTTTTCCGCTTCTGTCGTAATCTGTGTAAGATGAAGGTGGATAATGCAGAATATGCATTGTTAGCAGCTATTGCCATTTTCTCAGGTAAGATTAAGTGTAATCTTTGCCAGGGTAGCATTATCTGTACATATATGATATAAGACTGCTGTTTTAAAGACTTGAAATTTAACCCTATTGAGCCACTGTCAAATGCAGCATTTTACATTACAGGTATAGCCTTGCTTGCTCTCAGTCTATTGAATTTCAGCCCAAATCAATTTTTCACTCAAATCAAATTTGGTACATGCAGGGATCATACCATTCACTTAAAAATAATCCTCTACCTCTTTCACCCATATTGCATGGTGAAATATTTGTGGCACCGTTAAAACGTGAAGGTCAGTCTTGAACAAGAAATAATGGTAGTACCAGTACAGCACGAGTGTGACCAAAGAATAGAAAATAATCAGTAGAGAGAGGCCAGTCATGAAATGACATGCTATGCATGTTAGTGGCTTCAGAAGTATCTAGCAAATGAGGAAATATAAATTTACATTTCACTTGAACTGTGGCTTGAGGTAAAAAAAAAAATAATTGCCTTGTAAACTCTTTCGATCCTCTTCACATAATGGGTAGTTTTACCCATGTATGTTGTATATACATGGGTTCTATATTATATAAATACAGTACTGTAGATTGTATTTATTCCTATTTAATAATTATTTTTGTGCATTTTTCAGAGAGACCTAACCTAAAAGAACTCTCTAAAGTAGAAAAACTTCAAGAAATATACCTCGAAGCATTGAAATCGTATGTGGAGAATCGACGAATGCCACGATCCGCAATGGTGTTTGCAAAGTTGCTGAATATTCTCACAGAATTGCGAACCCTTGGAAACCTGAACTCAGAGGTGTGCTTCTCTCTCACACTCAAGAACAAGCGACTTCCGCCTTTCTTGGCAGAGATTTGGGATGTTACTGGATGTTAATGCTGAGCCACCGCCACTTCCCGGGTGCCATGTTACTGAGGTCGACTTACGAATGTGAGAGGATGGTTGTGAGTCATCTGGGGGTGGTGGGTGGTCCCTACACAATGTACCTGCAGGCTGTGAGTGAGAGACTGATAATGCTGTGGGAGCAGCTTTACACTGCCACCCAGGACCCACTTTCAGCCACCTGATGTGTCTATGTGCTAGGCCGCCGTTGTGACAGTGCTGTGCAGCCCGCCACCAGTGCAATGTAGAGTGTATAATGATGCGCCCAGTTTGTCCAAGGGGCAACAGAACATGCAATGTAGCCTTACTTATTATTATTCATTAGGATCCTTTCTTTAAGCTGTGAGGGGTGACACTGGCAATTGTTATATCATTGATCTCTCTCATGTGTGCGCATGCACACACACACACACACACAATCACTCACACACACACACACAACAAAATATACAATGATATTCCAACCCATCCTCCAAAAAAATTATAATACTATATTGATTATGTATGGAATGTACAAAATATGGACTGTTGTACCCCCCAAAAAAAAGTACTGAAATTAATGGAACTAAATGTACTCGATTAATGATAGGTTGTTTGAAAGGGTCAGTACTAGAATGAGGGGGATACAAGTGAAACATCCGAATGAGCCAAAGAGATGTACCCGGTAAAGAAAATTTTCTTAAATGTAAGGGCAGTGAGTGGAATACATTAGAGTAGAAAGCAGTGGAGGTAAACTCTATACATGAATTGAAATGTAAATACTGTATAACAAGATTCATGGGAGGACGGGGATGCGTCACACGAGACGATTAATGGTTAAGAGATATGGGCCAGGAGCTGGAGCTCAATCCCAACAAATACAGACACGTACACACATGCACAGAAATGCATGTGTGTGTGTGTACACATGATAAAATGTACATGTACATATTGTATACACATGCATTCATATAGATACACACATGTATGAATAATGTGTCTAATAATATATAAGAATATGTAAAGCTACATTGCAATGTTGCTCAGATACTGCGCAAGCCACTATTTGGCAGGCAACGAACTCCACGTGCCTTGCTTACGGTCAAGCTTCTGTTTCCTATCTAATTCTCAAGGTGTTCCTGAGGGACTGAGGAGAGTGGAATTTAAACACAAAGGAACAGTGCGATGTCTTCGGATCCATATTTTTATATGACTTCTTACTTGTTAATTTAATTGAGCTGGTATGCCGTCCTTACAAGTAGTAGACTATTGAAAATATATGTTAATATTATTGTAATGTTATTATTACTGCTATAAAGTGTAATCTTGTACCAATATCCCTGCCCTTACACATGGAAGGTTGTGTATAAATCAGCTTACATTAAGACTTGAGAATTGTAGTGGTGCCGTCTAGAATGTGAAATCGTTTTGCAGTTTGCTCCTATGAATTGTGCAATGTAAATGGACTATGTTAGTAACATATCTCCTGTAGTGTGGAATGGGGTACTCGATGCCATACAGATAAATAGAATTAATAAAAAATTTACACACTTAAACATTTATATACTATATTTGTAATGGAATATCACATTGAATTTGTTTTTCATAAGGCACCCTAGAGGAAACATTGTTTCTCAATTTATCATTTAAAATAAATTTTTCTATAAATTTTAATGGTTTTAATAGTAATATGGCATCTAAACTTATAATTGATAAATTAAATTGCCGTTAGTACCCAGACATTACCAAAGTTAAAATTTTGCAATATTGATCACATAATTTAAATGTGAGCATGTAAGCATTAATATCCCGGTCCTGCATTGAAGAAAGAGATTCCTATCCTTAGCCAATTAGCCAGCATTATGAAAAATTACTTTAATTTCTCAGAAAAATGTAATTAGGAATGAAGAACCACACCTGCACCTGATGTGCACTCCTTTATCTTCCAATATCCAAGAAATGATAGCTAACCCTTAGAAACGCCCTTTTCCTTTTTGTTCAATCAAAATACATAAGAAATGTGTGGCAAGTAGAATTTTACAGCTGTTGCCCTTATCCTCCTAACTTTAACATTAGAATCTCTCACTGGTCACCCTAACCCAAAATGAGAAAATCAAGTAACAATATACCATATGCAGTATAGTAAATTTGCAGACAGTAGAAATTTTGAATTTACCTGAAAAGTACAACTGATAGTATAGATTAAGATAAAAATTCTTATTGTAAGGGAAATGAATAGGGTGCTGAGTTAATAAAATTGTCCAGGGTGCTATTTAAAAAAAAAAAACGCTGTTTCCAGAAGGGCTCAGGAACTTTGCCTAGAATACTTGATATGACAAGCAATATGGTCTGCTGCATTGTTCTTTAATATGACACATTTTTCAGTCATTTTGACAGTGATAATGTGACTTATTAAATGTCGTTATTAGGCGCACTATTGCTTTTCTTGTCAGTTATTAACTTAGGAGCATAGGTTGTCCTTATAAAATGTAATGCTCAGATTCAGGGATGTCGATTGAGTAAATTTTCTGATTTGGTGATAATTAGCACCTTAAAAATTAAGTAATTAGAATAAAAGCTGAAACTGAAATCCCTGAAACTGTTGAATTACCCACCCCTGGCTTCTCCATGTTGTGTAAGCCGCCCATGATATCTAGTTCATGTTCTGGACAAGTGATGTGTATATTTGTGATTGTAAAGATTCTTGGATATACTAATTCCTTGTTCAGACTGAAATATATTTGTATATCATGAATCCAGTGCATTATCTCATGTTGTTGTTTGTCCAGAAATATTGGTTGTTTGCTACAATTTCAGTGTTTTAATATCTGTAAAGCAGGTTTTGTAAAGCAAAATATGTCAAATGGCAACAAATGATTCTGAAAGAATGAAGAAGATATTCTTAAAGAGTGAATGTGTGTAAGTACAGAAAGATTTCACCTTCATCATAGATTAAGGTCATCTTCCATAGTCTTTTAGCTTTTCTCATCTTCACATCTTCATTTTTTTGGTAGCCACTTTTCAGCACATAAGAGGATGTTAGGTCTGTGTAACAAGTTGGTTAAAAATGGCTCAAGCTGGGCTAGACTTTATACCCAAAAAGTTTGTGATCAAAAGTATTTGGGGTATGATGGCACCCAGTAGCTTGTGTCAGTTGCAGCTGTTTCACCTACACTTCAGAAGAGGAAAATATTGTAAGAGATCAGTGGCTATGATTGTAAATAATAAAATGTTGGATCTGAGGTGGGAAATCAATTTTAATATACTTTTTATCTGACCATTTTATTGTTATCATTTGGTACCATTTTCAGTCAGTGCAGTTTCATTTTGATGAGGTGTTGAGGTTGATGTAATTAGTTAAAGTATAATTCCATTGTGAATAAAGGTGTACTTGAGATTTTAATCCTTGTCACTGGATAATTTAATGTCTAATGCAGGTAGGAACTGCCGCATGGCTCATTGACAAGCTTAGCTAATCAGTATGCACCTCTCATATTACATTTTTTGTAATGACTGTCTACTTGGTCAAAAGATATTTCAAGCACTCTCAGATTCTTCCAGTTGTTGAGTAGTCTCGGTGCATAATACAAGTTCTGTGATATTCATCTTGTAAAGAAAGCCTTTTATTGAATATGATATTAAAGACTCAGATTATATAGTCTGAAAACTTTTAAATGCACAAATATTGTTAATTGGTGGACTGTTTTATTTGTTCTAAAGAGCAACACTATAAGAGCTTAATTAATCTACTGTGTTCGTATCTGAAAAATAGTGTGATAATTTTGGTTTAGTCATAATGAAATCCATGACTGTTATCTTTTTAAGGCATTTATATTGTATTAGTGAGGAAAGAGCCAATCAAATACATTTAAATTTAAGTAGCGTCAATCAACAAAAATCAAGTAATCCATTTTCATAATGGATTAACTGTGAAAATGTCCGATTACTTGGTACCTGCGAACACAGCCTGTCCCCTGGTTTGTTTTTATTTGTCTTAACCAACTTGTTGCCATTAATGGTAGGTTTGTGGATGGAATCCATCTGGGGAAATTAGGAAAGTATTCAGTGAAGAGATTTTGTAATTATATTTTCTTGGTCTACTTTGAAGAAACCCAAGACTAATGCATGTATAAATGAACCATCTTGTCAGTATTTGCTTTTGTGAGAACATGTATTCAAATGTGGTTGGTTGAAACTTAAATCACCCAATCACTTTTGAAAGGGCCATATAAATGTGTCTCACTGTCCTCTGATTGGTCAGCTTCTATAGTCCACAAGCCAATCAGGTGTCAGTTATACGTCCATGCTCCTCCTCCATTAAAATGATTGTGACAATTTTGCTGGAAATGAGCAACTCATTATTAATTTTGAGAAATGTTTTTTATATTAAATTTGGAAAATAATAAAATTATCTTGTTTCTTTTGTTTGGAGTTTGTTTTTCCCATAAAGCATACTATTAGCTGCTTTGGATGCTTATAGATGGTTGACTAACCTACTGTACTGCACATATATATTAATTATATAAATTATTATATCTTCATGAGAGATATAACAGATCTTTTGATTTTTTTTATAGAAACGTGCTGTGTCGGATTTTAGTTTGCATCGAACATCACGAGTGTGCTCTTGAGGAAAAAGGATGGAAGGTGTTGTGGAGAGCTGGGTTGCTCGTGAAACAAACCACTCACTCCAGGAAGGAATTGTTGTGCATTGAAAGCAATCTTGAGTCATGCATGTGCAAGTTTTGCAGCCATCGCCTAATGTTTCGCATGTCTAACAGAATGGCAAGATCGGTCGCTTATGCACCGGACCACCTGGATGGAGCTGCTCTTGGGCCACACGACATGTCCGGGTTTGCCCAACCGTCTTTGCCTAATGTTATGTATGTCTTACAAAATGGCAATGATCGGTCACTCACACACTGGACCCCAAATAACACAGCATATGTGCCCCATAACAGGCAAAGGCTGGTTTCCCACTTACTCCTGTAAACATCTGAGGTAAAAGTCTGTTACTGCACCGGAACAGAGAACCAGCACCATGGAATAGGGGAAGAGAAAGGAGCCAACATACCAAAATAATGGAAAACATTTGCTCCTCTCTGGCAATCTTGAGGTTATCTTGAGATGATTTCGGGGCTTTAGTGTCCCCGCGGCCCGGTCCTCGACCAGGCCTCCACCCCCAGGAAGCAGCCCGTGACAGCTGACTAACTCCCAGGTACCTATTTACTGCTAGGTAATAGGGGCATTCAGGGTGAAAGAAACTTTGCCCATTTGTTTCCGCCTCGTGCGGGAATCGAACCCGCACCACAGAATTACGAGTCCTGCGCGCTATCCACCAGGCTACGAGGCCCCGAGGCAACGACGAAACAATGTCACCAAAACGCCGGTAGTTGTCAGTAGGCCTTTCCCCATGGTTTCCTCAGACAGCAGGTTACCCGTGAGAAAGATACCACAACTAGGTGAGTACACACCCACATGTGTGTGGGTATGATCACTTGACATCTGTGACCTGTCCACACACACATACACACATACACACATACTAGGTGAGTACACTGGTGGAAAACTATCATATTATTTTATAAGAGAGAAAAAGAGACAGACAGATATAGTCCTGCTAAGAGACTGGTCAACCAGAGCAAAGAGGGAAAGGACGACAGAAAATCAGAGACAGACAGACAACAACATGCATGTCTGTATATGCAGAAACAGACAGAGACAGTAGTTAACAGATGGAATGAATGCATTAGGCAGTGATGAGGTGGAGGCTGACTCCATACACAGTTTCAAATGTAAATATGATAAGAGCCCAGTAGGCTCAGGAATCTGTACACCAGTTGATTAACAGTTAAGAGGCGGGACCAAAGAGCCGAAGCTCAACCCCCGCTAGCACAACACGGTGAGTACAACTAGGTGAGTTACAGAGATAGGGAGAAAGGGAAGAAGAAGAAGAAGGGAGGAGGAGGAGGAGAATGGAATGCTTGAAGAGTGAGAAGGAGAAAGGATGTTTGAAGAGAGGGAAGAAGATAAGCCAAGGTTAATTACACACACAAATCACAATAGCGTGATGCATCAAATGAATCTGATGCTCCATCAAATCCATCAAATGGATGTGATGCATCACGCTATTGTGATTTATGTATGTAATGAAGTAAGGGCGAAGAGGGAGAACGGCCTATTAACATTTTTTGAGTGCATGGGGGGGGGGGAGTTGTGCCTTGGTTTGTGTCTCGGAGAGGCTGCAGGATCCATTAAGTTCAGTAGAACTTCGATTTCAACTCTTGATCATGTCGTAGCTCAAAAGATTAGGCAAAATTGTAATTAATTTTGTCAATAAAGATGTTAATAATAATAAGTCGATTAAGGCAGCGTCTGGGATGCTCTCGGACGCAGGTTCGAATCCTCGTCACGGCCCTTGTGGATTTATTCAAGCCAAGGTTAAGCCAAGGGCCCAAGGCTTCGATCGAAAGCATATTTCATATAAATATAAACACCTACTTCATATTTATGAATAAAAATTGTAATTTAAATTTCAGTTAAATATACAATCCAAGGTTGTAAGCAACTCAGTTAATAATAATAATAATTAAAAAAAAAGAACATGCAGGAAATTAAAAAATTCGTACATGATGAAATTTACATATTTGAGAAAAGGATGTTATTAATATTGCGAGAAAAGTGATAAATCTAAATAAACATATTTATTTAATATATTTCTTGAATTTATATATCCTTATTTTTGTATTTTAAATGAGTTACTTATAGATATAGTTAGTATTGGTGGAAGCCGGAGCGCTCAGCTGATCCAGCAAGATGGCGGCCGTGTTGTACCGGGGAGTTACCTGTGCTGAGAAACTTCTCTCCAGGGCGGCAGCGCGGGTATATATTGACATTTAATCTTATTGGCCAACTGTATTAATTGGTTAGTCATTAGTGGGCAGTTTTCTGTTGACGATTTGTAAGGAAATGTATGTAATTTGACGTCTGGGTAATGTGTGTGTTCCAGCTCTGTTACTCTCACTAAAATACAAAACCGGGTACAAAACCGGGCAGCAATGAGGTTACAGTAACGAACGCTGCATTTGTGCTGTATTCGGTCCATGTGTGTCAAGTTGCCCCCGGGATGTAAGTCAGTAACTTGGCCTGGGTGAAGTTACCTCTGCAACTCATCAATAAACATTACGTTGTGTTGCATGTAAACAACACAGGTATTCTTACCTGAATTGACCTGGTTTACTTTAATTAATTACCTGGTTTGTGCAACGTTGCCTCCCCCCTCACACTATATTATAATGTGAGTTGTATACTGTATATTCTTCACGTCTGGTATACATCTACTTGTATTTTATAACTGTAACTCATATCCATGACTCGTTCAGTCACTGTTTTGGAGCCGGACTTTGAATTGTGTTGCTTTATTTTTCTATCGCCAGTGATGCTGTTTAATGTCTTTTTCAAAAGATGGGCCTTACTGGGAAAAAAAAAGTATGGATGGTAGAGCGACGGTCTCGCTTCATGCAGGTCGGTGTTCAATCCCCGATCGTCCAAGTGGTTGGGTGCCATTCCGTCCCTCCGTCCCATCCCAATTCCTGATCCTGATTCCTAGTGCTATATAGTCGTAATGGCTTGGCGCTTTATCCTGGTAATTATCTTGCTATCTTGCTGGACTTGTTTGAGAGCTCCTGACTAATGAACCGTGATCTAATTGAAGTGGAAAGTTCAATGCTAACCAATATGGGAAAATGCACTAACTTATGGTATAGAAATATTTGTCTTCACTCAAACATGCATTTGTTTGTTCCACTGAACAATTTTCACCAAACACAAACTGAACGATTAGGAATTCGTTTGTAATATATATAGTGGACAAATTGAGAACCACCGCTGGTGCACCAATAAATCACAACTATAAGATTGAGATGATTAAATTGTAATATACAGTACATGTAAGAACATACGCTTATCCCAGAATAGTAAATAGTGTGCAACTCAAGAAGCAAAACACTACTGCTGAAGGCATAGACCGACTAGGTGTAGAGACTACAAAGCCTGCGGCACAATTGAAAAACAAAAGTTTATAAGGAAAAGACAATTAGTTGAATAATTTTGGTCTTGCATGCTAGTACAGTACATGCTGTGGGGCAATTCAGGTAATAACCTGGTGGACCATTCAGTAATTAACATGAGCATTTTGGGCTCTTTTGTAATGCCAAGTAGCACCTCTAAAGGCTTTTGGCTGCATTTTATGCTGGATTGAGTGTCGTATTCTTCAGTACTGTACCTGGCACCAGTATGATCAGGCAGGGACGGCTTGGAAAGTTCCCTGATGTGACAAAGTAGAAAAAGTTTTGTTGAGTTATAAATACACACAAAGGGATGAGGTAGCTCAAGCCCTTGTATTCTCACTCCATTATAGTGGAATTGTAATTTTCCCTGACTTCTCAAGATCCCTGTTGGGGTCAGTAAAGTATCTTGCCCTAGGTAGCAGTTGATAATAATAAATAATAATAATTGATAATTCACCTATTGCCAGCTTTAAAGGTTTTTGGGCTAATTATCTAGTATAGTATTTGTTCTTTTAGGACTTCCCATAGTGTTACTTAGGAAAAGGTTGGCAAGTAGTGCAGTTTAGTCAGTATAATTGGCTTAATCTAGATTGTTACATGAAACATATTTGTTAAATCTTGGATATATATAAAAATTCTTTTTATGTATTGTATGAGATACATAGACAAGCAACTACTAATGTTTGTTATTAATCAGTTATCACCAGTAAAAAATACTTGAACGGTCTTGTGTATTTCCCTCGGCCAGTTTGTGCTATACTGTACTGCATATACTTTAACATTTTAGTTTGATATGGACAAAAACTGCACTGCACATCTAGCAAAGATCAAGCCTTATATATTTTTAAATCAATTCATCCAGATTTACAAGAATACTGTAGTTGCATGAACAAATTTGGGATTACATCATTACTGCATTAGTAGGCTTGTAACAGACGTATGTAAAGTTAAGAGATAACATCAATGGCAGTTAAACTAATCTTGCTGATGAGAAGGAATTATAAAGATAAGATGCCCAAAAATTTACATGTTTTTATTTTTGTTTAATCTAACAGATAGTAAGCAATGGAGCAACTGGACCTCTTGCACTTATTCAACAAAGACGCCACCTGAATGTTCATGAGCATGTCAGCTTTTCACTCTTAAAGAAATCTGGCATTCCTGTCCCTGGATTTGGAGTAGCCCATACTGCAGAAGAAGCTGTGGAAATTGCCAACAAACTGGATTCAACTGATGTTGTTGTCAAGGCTCAGGTTCTTGCTGGAGGGCGTGGAAAGGGCAACTTTAAGGGAGGTTTCAAAGGAGGCGTCAAGCTAGTTTACTCGTAAGTACCTTGAATTCCCATTGCTTCCTATTATAATGTTAAGTTGGTCATTAGTTCTATATCATTAGCAATGAATGATAAGAAGTGTGAGCTCTTATCATTAGCAATGATAAGTGTGAGGCTCTTATCATTAGCAATGATAAGATTTAACCAGAACCTTTAGTTAAAGATTGTGGGTATATAAGGGTTATTATATGTGGTTAAATTGTAAATATAGTTGAAACATTGTCTAGACAATTCTGATAACATGAAGGTGTATGGATGCACCGGAGTTACAAATAAATACATTTGTAATATTTGCATTGAACATTCAGTATTTGTAATGGGATCAGTGAATACTGTATGGAATAGTATTGTACTGTGTATACTACTGTAACCAAAAATTTCAAGATGTCTTTAAAAAGAGAACCAGTTTGGAAAACGAGATTTTGATGATTGATGGCTAGCAACATTAGATATAGTAATCATCAAAGAGGAGTTGAAATAGGTGGAAAACAAAACAAAAACAAAGCAAAAGGTCCAGACTTGATATTGCTATGGCTGCTGAAGGAGGTGCAGATCACTTTTGTTAAGCATTTGTTAAAATTTTAAATGAAATACTCGACAGGAGATATATAAACATGCCCCAGTATTTAAAAGGGGGGAACAGACAGTATTAATTAACTAAATTATAGACCAGTATCACTGACATATTCTTTATAAGTGTTCGCCAACCGGTAGTCCGTGAGAATTTTGTGTATTTAATTGTATTTTCTTTAACTGTTATATTTAATGGCATCAAATAGTTTGACTAATAACTTATTTCTTGTTTGGTGGACCGCGGGATTTAAAAGGATGAATTTGGTGATCCGTGAGCTCTGAAAGGTTGGCAGCCGCTGCTTTATAACGTTCTAGAGAGCAATCAGTAAGAGAACGGTAGAATGTCTGGAGAGAATAAATTTTGATAGGAGGGCAACATGGATTAAGGGGAGGGAAAATTTGTGGCACACTTGATAGTTTTGCAATGCAGTACGTTACCAAAAGACTAGAGAACAAGAAGGCTGTTTAGAGCATGTGTTCCTTACCTATCAAAAAGCATTTGATAATAAATCATGGATAAGGAAGTACAGTACATGGCTAGAAAGCAAAGGATCATAGAGAAGGTTTCCAACTAGATCTGCCCTGGAACCATTGCTGTTTCTAATTTATGAGCAATCTGCAAGATGAAGTGAACTTGTACATGTCAATGTTTGTTGGTGTACAGCTAATCAGAAATATAAAAACTGAGGAAGCCAGCAGATAATTACAGGAAGACCTTGACAAACTCAGTGGGCACAACCCTGTCTGCACAGTTGGTGCAAAACCAAAAGGTCCTGTATTTGATTCCCTCTTGAGACGGAGATGTTTAGGCAAGATTCCTTACACCGGATACCCCTGTCCACCTAACAGTAAATACACAAGTGTGTTAGATAACTTGTGGGATGCATACTGAGGAAGGTCAATTGTTGGCCCAGGGGCAACCTTGAAAAACGTAACATGCTTCCTATCCCTGACATTGTGAAACAAATGGCTGTTTAGAGTTCAATCCCAATAATTGCAAGGTAATGCAGATGGGAAAGGGAGAAAATGTACACCATAAGCAGGCAATTGCAGGAATTGGATAGAGAAAGACTTTGAAGTGGACATAATTCTCCCACTAATGTATAAATAATTTTATTACTTCAGCCACAGCATACCATGGTTTGTTGCCTCTGCACATCAAGCAGTGAGACCTCATCTTTCGAAAATGTAAAAATGTGAAAATTAATTCATATTCAGGATTTTGTGACCAGAATTCTGATATTGTCCAAAATTTCTTCAAAATTGCCTACATTCAATGTTTCAAAACATTCCTCAAAATAACCTTCAAAATCTTGCCACAGGCAAGATTTTGTGGCTATTTATAAAATAGCCACAGGCTATTTTATAAATGCTGATTATGGCTGTAATATTAGAAAGAGGATATTCTCTTCTGCCTTTTCTTCTCTTTTCTGCCTTCTCATCCTTAATTCTCTCCTTCTGCCTTCTTGTCTTTCTCTCCTCTTCTGCCTTCTTGTCTTTCTCTCCTCTTCTGCCTTCTGTAAAACTGCATGTTAAACCACCCTGTTTGTATTATGAGAAGTATCTCTCTGGAAATACCATAGAAAATTGTCGTGTGATCAAAAAACATTTTGTTTTACTAAAGAGTTTTCATTAAAATTCTGCTAATCAATTTACCATTGTATTAAATGGTTATTTGCAGGATTAACTATTTAGAAGTGAGGCTCATTTAAGGTACATTACTATATATTGATAGTGTCAAGCCCTTAAAACCAATACAGAGCCGAAGAGGCTGGAGATGTGGCCTCGAGGATGATTGGGGATGTTCTTGTGACCAAGCAAACTGGTGAGAAAGGAGTTCCCTGTAATAAAGTGATGGTGTGTGAGCGCAAGTTCCCTCGTCGTGAATTCTATCTGGCTATCATGATGGAGAGGTCGTTTGGCGTAAGTTACATGTGAAAAGCATTGGTTTAGCATAGAAAATGTGTGCAAATCTATATATACGGTATTACTTTCTAAATAGTTTATATTGTATCATAGACTAGGAAACTATTTTGTAATTATTTTATAAATATTTGTAAAAATATTTTCCCTAGGGACCTGTTATCATTGCATCAGCTCAGGGTGGTATTAACATTGAAGAAGTAGCAGAAGAGGATCCGGATTCCATCTTTAAAGTTCCCATTGACATTGCTGAAGGTAAAAATGTTTTTTGGACTTTGATATTTTTAACTTTTGTGAAAATAACAATTTATTTATAAAATTTACATTTACCAAAATGTACAATATCAGTATCATATGGTATTAAGCAATTAATAAATTTCATCTATATATTTGATGTCATGTTCCTACCTAGGACCTACTCCTTCGAGTTACCACAGAAAAAGCCTCCACTTGGCCCAATCGAAATCTTTTAACACAATTTTTCTTAAAAGTCCGGTTATTGTCATGTGTTGATCCCCAAGGTAATGTTACCATAGGTCGATTTTAGTTATCACCACATAGCTTTTATACAATTGGTGTAAATATGATAATGAATAATGATGCATCTCTATGGATATAATTTAGTTAACCTAAACCCATAACAAAAATCTGGTATTTTTAATTGCTTACTATAGATAAGGTTACGATGTAATATCGGCAAGGCAATTATCGTCAAATCACAATTTGGTACTTCCCATTGGTGTTTGAACCTACTTCTGGATAACATTACTAAACAGAATAGCAGCAAAGGAATGGGATGCAAGACACTTTATTTGAGCTTTGCCAAGAACATATTTACATGGAATTTATATGTACATATTTTATTGTAGGCATATGTACAGTACAGTATTCACTTTTTTATTTGGAATGTGCAAATAAACTGGGTTATTCTATACATTGTTTAAAAAGTGAAACAGCAAACATTCAAGCCCCATAGCACGAGCATCACAACTCAGGCCTTAACTCGGCATGACAGGAATATTACAACACCACAGCCCATGGACCAAATAGTCCCCCAACTTGGCAATATGTGTGTGCACAAGACACAAATAGACATTATTATTATTATTATTATTATTATTATTATTATTATTATTAATTATTATTATTATTCACAGAGTAATCACACTAACATGCTTGCATCAATGAGAAATTCCGTAGGAACCGTGATGAGGGTTCATCATTGAATAAATTGATGTAGTCACGTTAATGTGATTACTCTCGTGTATTGAAAGAGGAGTGTCAGAGATAGAACATTTCTAGATGATAGAGTCAGAGTGCATGGGGGGAATTGTGTGAATATCCTGTTCCGGCTTCAGTGGAAGCCCCAGGAAATCCTCGTGTGTTCAATAGAACTCCAGGTTGCAATCTTTTGACAATGTCGTGGTCTGATTGTCCGGGGCGTGTGCGTGGGACTACCCACTGCATAGGTTCGAACCCTCATCACGGCTCCTATGGAATTTATTATTACTATTATTTATTTAATTATTTATTATTATTTATTTTTATTTATTTTTATTTATTATTTTTATTATTTATATTTATTTTTTTTTGCACACAGGCAGAGGTACCTATGATCATAGCCACACTCAACAGGGGGTTAACCTACCAAACAAGAAGTTCAAATTATGAGACTTATTTTCTCGGATGCTGTTGCCTGGTGTAGTGGTTGGGCAGAGCAATCAGCCATTTTGATGATCACTAATTGGTAGTGTTTTGAGATTTTTTAAATGTGCTTTCCAGCAAACCTTCCATGATGGAAGCTACATCTTTGTGTCAGTCTATTGCTAATATGATCTATCAGTGTGTGTTAAAGTGGTCCTACTGCCGTGTGTTAAGCTGCCCTGACTAAGCAGAAACCTGTCCCAGGGCCAGGAGGTATAGCTTAGAAAGGGTTTTGTTGTAATTGTTTTTACAGTAAAGTAAGAAGGTTTGCATTCATAGCAGCAAATTAGCAAGTCTTGAAGTGCCAACTATGTGGGGTGGTTTGGGTTTTGCTTGGCTGGCTGCTGTATTTACAAGGCAAGCTGATAGTGTGTGAGAATATGGTCGCTTCCATATTCCTTTCACCAGTTATGCAAGATGTTGCAATTGACTACACCTCTTCCCCTCCCTTCCCTTCATTCCAAGATGATGTACCTGGTTGAGTCTCCTATTAATCCATGCGTAAGTTTTTAGTCAAATCTATCCTCTATTAAAGTATAACACAGTCCTGGCTGTGGATTTATCCTTACACTGCACAACATGGCAGGGCATCTGTAATTTGCACAAAGTTGGGGAAGGGTTTTAAAGTACGGTGTACTGCATAAGATTTAAATGTACTATTGGGTAAACAGGGCAACCATATGTTGTCTATGGGCAATAGTAAACAGCTGCCATCTAGAAAAAATCCTGATTAGGCTGCATTGCTGGGAAGCCCTCGGTATCGTTTATGATATCTGATGCACACCCTTTCACCTCACATCCCCACGCTGTAGCATGCTCCACACAATCGCTGACTAATAAAGAAATTCAGAAGAAACTGTTGGAAACAAACGAGGAAAGTATCATTGACAAAATGTTTGCAGTGCGTTGAAGATACAGTATAGACATAAAATAAATGCAGATAACCATTGACACTGGTAGGATGGTACACAGTGGCAAGGTCAGCAAAGCAACAAAAGAACCAAAAAATAAATCAGATTGTGTCGTGGACAATAGCATAAATATGTGCTTGGTAAGTATGACATGATGGACACTGGAGTGTGTACGTAAAATTGTCAAGTGAACCAAAAAGGTGCTTTTTTTCACCTTGTTGATGCAATCATGCTAAATAGTACAATATGTTTATGGTGAAATCAGGCCTTCAACCAACTATATGTGGTTACCATTTTGGCTTGGTATTTGAAAAGAATTAACAAAGTTTGGATAAGACGTGTTATATTGAGCACCATTCTCAGCCCAATATTGCCTCATGCTGCTCCAGACTATCTTTCAAGGAGGGCTTTCAGCTACACAAAATAACTATAATCCAGCTGCTGGAAAGCAAGCAAGAGGCTAACATGTGTTTGTATGAACACACAAGGAGGCCAAGGGCACAAAAACTTAGTCACAACATTGTGCAGAGAGTGTAGTGTTGCATAGTGTTCCGTAGACTGCTTCAGCGAGTACCACACCCTTCACAGCTACTGTTTCGTAATGAAGCGTAAACATATAAACTGAGTGAGCGAGGGCATAGTGTGAAAAACATCAATAATATTTATGTAATTCCTGTAAAACAAAACATTTTGGTGGGCATATTAGTCATATGCACATATTTGTGTGTATTGATGTTCTGCGCATTTTATTATACTAGAACACCAAGTTTGGACCCCCCCCCCTTATTAAACAAATTGTGAAAATTTATGAACAGGCAGGTCGGGGACGTTATAAATATATATATAAATATATATACTGTACAGTACTGGTATATATATATATAAGTACCTCATTTGATGGGCTACAATCGTGTACATATTGGTACTGTATTTATATTGGTTGCATTTTTGTATGACATATTAATGAATTTTCGTATAAATTTCAGGTATCACTGACGAAACGGCAAAGGGTCTAACAAAAATGCTGGGCCTCGATACACATTTGGAGGAAACTGTAGCTGTTATCAAATCTCTTTATAATGCATTTATCACATATGATGCATCTTTGATAGAAATCAATCCATATGCAGAGGATACCTATGGCAAATGTAAGTACACTGGCTGACAGTATATACACTAGTTCAGTACTAAAAATACGATATCATTTATTGATGCAATAGATATGCTTTCAAAAGGATTTGTAGAGTATTGTCATAAGTTTTAAGTTCATATTGGTTATTTATCACACTTAATCATAGTAAGTGTTAAAACAATCTCTTTAAGTATAATACGTGGATTTTTCAAGTTCAATACTGTATTGTACTTGAAAGGTGTGAATTTCACAAGTAAAACTATCATGGGGCCAGGTTTTGGCTCGTGGTTCCCGGTGAGCCTTCGGGACTTGTCCAGAAAATGGCATTTGATTACATTCAGTGCTAGTTTTTTGCTATATAATAATAAAAAAAACTATAATTTTCTCTACTATAAAATGATAAGAACAAAAATAATTTTAATTTAGTAAAAAAATAAAAACAAGAGGTAACCCCATTTGTATGTTGCATTTAGGTTTGCCCATTGTACCCACTCATTCCACCTTGAAGATGTCATTATTTTTTTTATCTCTGCAAATGTAAATGAAGTTTTTAAAAATGAGGTGTAAAAGTGTTCATCAGACAGTGCAAACATATTACACCTATGTAGTTAGGAACCGTGTTTTCCACCTATCATTTATCTGGAATGTTTGTTTGAGATGTCTGTATTTGCAAGAATATAATTTGTAACAATGACTTGTAAAAACCTTGCAAATAAGAAATTGCCCGCTTTAAGCTGAAGTAGCCACAAATTACTAGTTCTCTTAACTCGGGCAAAGTTGGAATATCTGCAATTAGTCTATTAGGTAAGCTGTTGTATTCATCTAGTTGTGGTTATAGGGGGTTGAGTTTTGGCTCTCTGGTTTTCAATCCTGACAATCCTTTTTCACTGTTTAATCAGCTGCTGTATATGACAAAAAAAAACTTGCTGAATATATTTTAAGATAAACCCATCATCTCTGACATTAAGTTTTTTTTTTTTTTTTGTTGCAGTGTATGCTCTTGATGCCAAGATGAAATTTGATGATAATGCAGAGTTTCGCCAGAAAGATATATTTGATGAACGTGATTGGTCACAAGAGGATGCTAAAGAAGTAGAAGCTTCCAGATACAACTTAAATTACATTGCTCTTGATGGTTTGTGCTTTTTATGCAGTTTTATTAACAGCCTCCAACAATACAACAAAATAACTTAATTTATTAACAGGCTAAATCATTTTCCAAAGTAAAATATTTTTGATACATTTAATCCTGGAGTTGCTATTAAAACACTTAAATATTTTTAAACTTTGCTGGGTGTTGTCAGTTTCCATGTACTTCAATGTTTTTAATAGATGGTAATAATTAATTTTTGTAAATTCTAAGCTGCCTGATGGCCACCATATCTAGTATTCCTAACAGGAAAAAGAAACATGGTTTGTGTTTTACTTTTTGTATGCAAACAATACATTGCCTCCAAATATTCAAGACCTTTGGTTGCCATAATTTTTCTCCCTATAGGACCTTAGCTTCCCTTATAATTTCTACCTCCATATCTTATCTCGTCCTCCCTTCTTACCCTCTCCATCTCTACCCCTTCCCTGTTCCTCTTATCTCCTCCTCCCTCTTTTACCATCTCTTCTCCTCTCATCTTTTTCCCCATCTTCTCTGGTAGAATAATAATATTTAGAATCGACCTCACTTTAAGAGTTGAAGCTAACAAAGTTGAGATGTATCAGTACATATTAAAAGTAATTTGGAGGTTGTTAGAAATATAATAAATTTAAAATAAAGTAGTGGACATATTATGGTTAACATGTAGGCAGGCAATAGTTGTGCAAATTTAAGTAATGACTATTATATGTATCATTTGTAATTTATTTGTGAATGAGTTAATCTAGAAATGTAGGTACACTACTATGCAAAATATAAATAATTGTGCAATATCTTGATTTTGCATTTACAACTTATAAGTTGACTTAAACTGTGTGAAACAGCATATTATAATTTAAATAAAATGAAATGGGAGAGTATTGGTTAATGGACTACCATCATAGCTTTCTTCTCCGCACAAATGATGACAAACAAAAGGCCGAGTCTGAGTAAAAGATTGAACTCCCTTATGGTGAGCTCTCTTTTACGAAGATTAATGCTCGATGAAGCTTTTCTGACTGGAGAGTGAGAATTATGGTGGTAATTCCTATCATTATTATTCTTTCCATTTTGATGCCATTTCTCACATCAAATGCAAAATCTTTCACAATTGTTTAATTCATAGTTATAGACCATTTATACACCAAACAAAAAATTTATGTACAGGAAGTATTTGAATGCTTTTGCTAGTTTAACTAATAACGACATGCAAATGAAAGTTACCTGCTATTCACATGTAAAGTAGAGAAAATGAAGAGAATGAGGGGTTTCTATACAAAATACAGAATACACTGTACATAATGAGGTTAAGATAAAAACATATATTAATAAAATATGAAGCAATCATTACAATACACCTCGGAAAATGTACAGGCCATCCAACTAAAGTTTGCCAACATCAAGAAAAGTGTCATACTAAAGTGCCTTTATTCTAAATTACCAGAGGACCCAAAACAAAAAATGGGGCAGTATGTAAATTTTGCAAGCTGCTATCATTTTCTAGTATGACGATTTTTGGCCTTAGGGAGAATATACGTCAAAATGCAACACACTATTAGGAGGACAGGTTGAAATGTAATGCTATACTGTACTAAGTTTTGTTCATTGTTTATGAGGAGAAATCTTGGGAATTGGCCAGCCACCTTTCACAGATTATGTGAGGGATGGAGGTGGTGGTGGTTACTATTGTGCCTAAACACCCCCCCCCCCCCCACTACCCTTTCTAGATCAGTAGGACCGACTCTGATCAGCCTGTGCTCATCCTGTATCCCAGATCATTCACCTTGCAGAGTTGGGTGAGGCTTGCACCAAATGTCTGACCTCCAACATCGTACAAATACAAACATTCTCTTATATACTGTACAGTACTGTATACGGTATATAAAATAAAAAAATATATTTGCTGGCTGCATTTTGACTTATGGACTAGGCTGAATATTGGTGTTTGCAGCCAAAGGAATAAGATATCCCATCTCAATTTTTTAACATTATAATTTTTTTCATCTACTAGTCTTCCTGCTACATTTTATTCCAATCTCTTCATTGACTTATTTTTTTTCTGTGTAACAAATCTTTTCACATGTGTTTTGCACTCTACATTCAGCTTTTTATTTTCCTGCATCTCTCTCACTTTGTATCTATAAAATTAATCTTTATTTTTTAAACAGCAGTGGATACAGACGATACCTTCTGACTCTTCTTATTAGGCTTAAAACTTGCACTCCCACAGCTTTTATTGTAAGCTTTATACTACCAGTTTTTCATGCAACATTATTTGATCTCCCACTTGGCTTAAATCTGAGTCTCCAACTGTTGCTGTTGAACATGAACAGTTAAGGATTGGTGACAAGTGTCTCTCCTAGAGCAATGAGTTAGAAAGAAAAACAAAAGAAATTAAACTGTAAGATAGACTTGATTACAACATATAAAATCCTCAGAGGTTGGAAATGATGTGGCAGATGGGCTATGAACCACTCGAACCCCCCCTCCCCCGTTTCCACTCCTTGATTGGTTGTACTTGTGGAGATTGAATGTTGCCTATTTGTTCATGCCTCATGACATGAGTTTCAAGAAAGTTATCTTAAATATGTTACAATATATATTGTACTCTACAAGGAGGCATCCAGTTTTTATGTACACTTCTGGTTCTATTAAAAAGTTTCAAATTTAACATGGTGGCTATGTAAGGCATCTTGGCCTGTACCACTCAATGGCAGGGGTAGCTAGATCAGATTTGCTGATAGTCCATTTAACAATTTCATTTTGTGGATTCTGCAGGAATAGTTCTGCTGGGTTATTATTAGTGTTACTAATTGAGTTATTAATTTTCTGTCATTACTTAAACTGAGGTCATGAGAAGCATTGCCATAAATAAAAGAAAAAGTACAGGTATTGGTATCAGAGAATTGGTCTCTATAGGTAATTACAAATTTTCAGCCAAGTTGGAGGGAAATACCTTCCTGTCCCAGTCACAAAACTAAAATATAAGTTGACTTATTTTTATCCTTGCATTTTTTATCAGACACTTAAAAAACTGAATGATGTTTGTGGCATTGGTTTACAGGTACCATTGGTTGTCTGGTAAATGGTGCAGGTTTGGCCATGGCCACTATGGACATCATAAAGTTGCATGGAGGATCACCCGCAAATTTCCTGGATGTTGGTGGTGGAGCAACAGCTGAACAGGTTAAAGAGGCATTCAAGATTATCACTGCAGATCCAAAAGTAAGCTGTAATCTTATTTGCGTATTCAAAATAAGAGATACACACAAACATTTGTGTCAATTAAGGCCCATTTGTTATGGGCCCTAATTATTAAGGGCCTAATATACTCCTTGTGTATGGATAGTAGGACTCCTTACGTTCATTCAATATTAGAACACTTGATAACACACAGTCCTTTTTTTTATCTTTTGTAATTTGTTCCTTGTTTGAAATTTCCTTCATTGAATGGTTGGCCAAATGTAGAGCTTTCTAGTTTGAAAAACTCAAAATATAAGACTATAGCGGCTTGATAATTGTTCAGGACAGGCCGAAACATTGTTTCTTTATTTTCTGATGTCGTTTGGTCATCATATATTCAGCCACGTTATTGTGACACATTGACTGCTAATTTTTAGAAATTGTAAAAAAAAATTACAATTACATCTTAATGAAATAATACAAACCTACCAAATGCCTTCAAAATGTTCATTTTAGGAGGAAATTAGAGTATGGTAGGTGGCTGTGGCTATGTGGGAGCTAGTGTTTAAGCCAATAGCACTGCTGATCTTGTCTGTGCTGCTGTTTGTTGATACTGGGGGCTGTGTGTGTGTGTGTGTGTGTATATATATATATATATATATATATATATATATATATATATATATATATATATATATATATATATATATATATATATATATATATATATAACTGAAAACTCACACCCCAGAAGTGACTCGAACCCATACTCCCAGGAGCAACGCAACTGGTATGTACAAGACGCCTTAATCCACTTGACCATCACGACCGGACAAAATGAGGTGATAGCCGAGGCTATTTGAACCACCCCACCGCCGGCACTCGGATAGTAATCTTGGGCATAGCATATGCCCAAGATTACTATCCGAGTGCCGGCGGTGGGGTGGTTCAAATAGCCTCGGCTATCACCTCATTTTGTCCGGTCGTGATGGTCAAGTGGATTAAGGCGTCTTGTACATACCAGTTGCGTTGCTCCTGGGAGTATGGGTTCGAGTCACTTCTGGGGTGTGAGTTTTCAGTTGCATATTGTCCTGGGGACCATTCAGGCTTGTTCGCATATATATATATATATATATATATATATATATATATATATATATATATATATATATATATATATATATATATATATATATATATATATAAATATAATGAAGTTGAGGGGTATCACCTTTGGTGCAATTGTTGGGACCCATAGCCTTGGAGAAGAAAATAACGAGTATTCAGAGAAGACATTGTGGCTTCTCACTGAACACTAATATTTTCTTCACCTACGAACCCGCCAAAAGTGTTTAAATGCTTGTTCCTGTGTATGGACATAGTGCTTGGGTTAAAGTTCTTTTCTCATATGTACAACTACTTTAGGTATATTAGCAAGTACAAAGTATAACAAATTTTGTAAGGTAATTCAGAGTACTGTACTTGATAAGTAATAAGTACAAGTAATTTTGCAAAAGATAAATATAAATATTTTTTGTTGGAACTTCATTATCACAAGAATATAAATGATGAATTCAAATTGTTTCCAGCTTTACTAAAAGTAAATGGACCAAACTCGCAGTAAAAAAAAAATAATCGTTGCCATAAAATAAAGCAGCACTGTGTTATTGTCTGGACCTCATAAACTGAAATATGAACTAAAATGCACCATGTCTTAATTAGTTTTCAAAGCAATAAAATATTTTTAACGTTAAAAAGTCATGTTTGTAAAATGCATTTTCATCAAATGGATCTTGTTAGAATGCTTTTCCTACAATGTGCAGACAAATTTGGACAAGTCATAATTTTAATATTTCTGTATCTTATCTTTATTTCAGGTTCATGCAATAATGGTGAACATTTTTGGTGGAATCATGCGTTGTGACGTCATTGCCCAGGGTATTATTGCAGCGGCAGAAGAGCTCTCGCTGAGTATTCCCATTGTAGTACGACTTCAGGTAAAGCATTGTATTTTGTAGTTTATTGTATGGTTGTTTATCTCCCTTAGACGAGAGTTCACATATAAGTGGAATTTTATAAGAATTGGGTTCTGCTTATAAATCCCAGTAATTACAAGCTTTGGCATTTGCTTTTACTGTACCTGTATTATCGAATAAAAATATAAACCTTATTATTATAGATAAAAAGTTATTAATTATAATAATTTTGAGGTGTCTAGTACAACATCCAAAAATATTTAAGCAAAATATCTAGTTTGAGAAGATTTTTTTAAATTTTTTTTGTCGCCTATTTGTGTGGTTGATCCAAAACTGGAAGCCCCCTCTCTCCCCTTTCACCATGATCTGCTTTACTATGGTGCTTTCCATTTTTGCCAGGACCTAAAAGCTAGAGTATCTTCATGTTGACCTGAACATCTGTGTGCTCTTCCTATTAGATTCTATTTGTCTAAAGGCATTGTACTATTGCCTTTTGCACCTTTTGACTTGCTTTTGTTACAATGCAGTGCAGTCTCTTTCACACAGGGAATTTTGATTTCATCTTTCACGGGTTCTATGATGTCCATTATTTTCCTTGTGGAATTTTTCATCAACACATCAAATGTTGACAAGGAGTTTGACTCCAGCTTCACCACTCAGGGCTGGGGTTGTGGCCCCATCATCTGCAGTTGGCCCATATCACAGTGATGGAATTAGCAGTAGTTTGAATGACACCAGCATATATCACTTTCTTGGCGCTCTTGTGATCCAGGTTCACTTTGAGTGCATGTCTGTAGTCCAATACCTCAGCAAGGAGCTTCAGTAGCTTCATTTTTTGTAGGGGTGAACTCTCTAAGATAGCCTCATTTCTGGATTCTTGGGATAATTCCTGTGTGCTTTATATTCAGCGAGTGTTGATGTTCTCGCAGTTGCCCTCTCTTTGTTTCATCATATTTTTGCAGTGTGAGATGATGTGTGATGTTATTCTACTCGCTGCCTTGGTTGCCTGTTCAACCTTGATTACTTACTTACTTCTTGCTTGTTGCCCACATCCTTTGCCATTCCGGGGCTTCTCTTCTGTCAAACTTTTCCAACTCCTGGAGGGTTTAAACTCATCCTCCAATCTTCACATGTGGTTTTTAAGCCATTTATACTGCCACCAAATGGCAGCTCTATTGTGTTGCATTTTCATCCTTTCAGGAATCAGTATGAGGAGACTTGCAGTCTTACTAGCTTTTCCTTCACTAGTTGTTTTCTGTTTCTGTAATAATGATTGTGGCCTTTCTCTCTCGGCTATTTATGGAGTGATATTGACATTGTAATGATTACTCTAGTAACATTCCATTGATTTTAAACAATAAGGTAGGTAGCATTGAGAAATAATTGACATTTAGGTTTGGTGAGGGTCCTTTGTTTTGGTTTTATGAATATACAGCACAGGTATGTCTTAAAATAAATCAATGTACAGTTTTGTGTTTCAGTATTAGTCATGTAATTTAAATTGATAATTCCTATATGTTAAAAGTTAATTATTCATACCTAAACCATTTTTTTCCAGGGTACCAATGTGGATGATGCAAAAGCACTTATTGCTATGTCCAACCTAAGAATACTTCCCTGTGACAATCTTGATGATGCAGCAAAGATGGCAGTCAAGTTATCAAACATTATTACTCTTGCCAAAGCTGCAAATATTGATGTTAAATTTGAAATTCCTGTTTAAGGTTGTTTTTAAAATGTTTACTATTTCCTTATTAAAATTTAACAGTGTACATTGAAATAAGTATATAGAATCATAAAGCATAAGTTTTGTATAATTTATTCTTTGGTTTCATAAGCATTTATGCTGCTTCTAAATAGCATTTGGTTGTAAATTGTGTATAGAATTATTGCTGCATTTGTATACAGTATTTTGTAGTCTCCCTTTCATTGGGCGACTACAACACTAGTCTATATATTTAAATTGTTCATTTGAATAAGTCTACAGTAAGTTTTTTCTCTTGACTGACACACTTGGCACAATATGAAGAGCATACCCACCTGGTATGATAAAGCTCTTATGCCATATACGAGCCCAAGTATGTTGGACAAGGAATGGAAGTGCCTCGCCAACATTGGAGGACAATTTACTTGCAGAGGTCCCACTGTGGAGTTTATTTTTTTTTGCTCAGGTCAAACTTTGTATTGCAATTTACTATTTTTATTGTGAAATTTTGCCATAGATCATCTTGGCACTACTTAATACTTTGCTATATATATAAAGTTACATTATTCTACACAAGCATGTATATATATTGTCTATTTAGTGGTCATGTTAAGGAATGTACTTTACAAATTAAATATTCAGAACCACTAGCAAAA